CACAGTCTGATCTGCTTTGCCGGTAGCTTGGCTCGTTCGTGGGGCCCTGGCGTCCTCATCGTCGTGGGCAGCGTAGCAGCTCAAGAGCTTGAGGCTGGAGCGAGGTTAAACGAGCGATGGCGGGCTGGGATATTTGTCATTTGTCGTCCCCTCCATCAGTAGTCTGCCATGTGTTGGTGTCCCCCCCCTAGCAGCAGCCGACCTAACTCATGGGCGGTGTCCAACTTGGCAAACACGAAGCACAGCACCCAAGCTCCCCCATCAGAAAATGCAGCGGCCCGATTCGGAAAGGGGAAGGCGTGGGTGTGGACACACAGCTGCAGCCCGTTTCTCAGGGATTGACCAAAAAAGGGTAAAGGGTTGTCGTAACCCCACCCCCTTCTCCCCTTTCCCCTCTCTGATGCCCAGCCCGGCTCCTGGTCTGCCGAAAGAAGGGAAGCAAGAGAAGAAGAAGAAGAAGAAAAGAAAAAAAAAAAAAACAGCTGGAGCCCAGATGAGCGAAAACGGCGCCCCACCAGCGAAGGAACAACCCAATCTACTAATCGAATCAGGTTTCCACTGATGAGAAGATTTGGTAGAGGTCTTCCAGTAGGTTTTGTGTCTTTTCGTTTGGTGGTACGGCGAGATGGCAGGATCCTTCCGCTAAGGAACGGGCTGGGGAATATGTGATTGAAGACCCAAGATTGGGAAATGTCCAGGCCGGCATCTTGGCTGTCAGCCTGATTCGCGTGAGGGGTTGTTGAAATGTCTCAGCCCACACCTATTGTCACGTATCCTGCAGGGACGACAGGTACGCATTGAATGCTTGTCATGATATAGGTATAAACACCATGTGCCAGCATATTCCCAGCGCAAGCACAAGACGCCCTGGTGCTAAGCGACTAATCGGGCTATTAGCGCGTGTCCGTCTCGGCCGGGTTTTGTGCTGTACTCCGTGGCAGGCATATCAACGATGCATGTCCTGGTTCCTTGCCGCGGGGGTGGCTTGAGCCGGAACCGCCCTCTTGCCGGCCCGTGACCCAGGCCCTGGGCCCGACCAGGTCAGGGCCGTTAGTTAGCACCGCGCCGAAGCTCGCTAGACGAGAAACACACGCGACCGCAAATGACGGCGGACAAATTATGTGCGAGGCGCCTTCTCTGCCTCTCCCTCCTCGTCATCTCTTCATCTCTTCAATAAGAACCGAGTGGGATTATCTGCCTGGCTGTCCCGCTGTGGAGATCTCCTCCGGGCAGAACTCCCGCATCTGGCTTGCGCCCCCGAATCCAGCTGGCCCGAGAAGCTTGGAAATCCCTTCCTTGTGATATATCACGTGAGTTTCCAACCACTTGATTTTTTTTTTCTTGTCTCTAGCCGACTTCCCCGGTGAATGCTCGGGCCACCCTCTGACCGCCAAAAACAAGTGGATGCTGGGAAAACAACCCCCACAGACAAGTCATAAACGATAATGTCTCGATGGTGCCGAATTATGCCGCCAATGGACTTTCTTCCTTTTGCTGGAGACCGTGAGGGATCTCCGTTCAGCCTGGCGCGTGTGGCCAGAACATTTCCATTTCCGCATGGGTGGGCGCCCATGTTTTGATGGCGCCAACGTGGGCGGGCGAATCCGAGACCATGGACGGGGCGACCTGCCTTCCCGGCTGAGTGCCGAACCACTCGACCTCCCCAAGGGTCTTTTGGGGTCAAGAGATCCTTCCCTAAACCGGCGATTCCAACGCGAACAGCTGTCATCGGAACGCCCACAACGTTGCTACGGCAAGGGGCCCTTGTCAGAGATTCGGCCTAACCAACAAGCGGAAGGCGCCGTATTTTTTGCTCTTTTTATTTATTTATTTTTCATTATGCTCTTTCTGCTCCCTTGTCTCATCGAACTCTTGTTGCGTTCCCATCTTGACTTGCGCGTCTCCCTCATGGAGACCCCTTTGTTCTCCTTCCCCGACTTATCCATATCGTTGGCAAATTTGAAACAAGAACACCCATCTCATCTCCATGTGTGCAAGCGACCGGCAGTGGAATATTAGAAACTGGCTGGGCACAGACACCGGGCAATTTGGCCGGGGTTGGGAGGCAGGGGGCCCAGGCACCCTTTTAAAAATATCATTGTGCATCCGGCTGTGCTTGCAATGGCAGCCCGGGCAGTCTAAAATAAATTGACCTGGCTGCAGAATTGGACTGATGGCTTCTCGGGTGTCTCCCAATATCGGGAAGGCCTCCCGATATGGACAACTGCCTTTTCTTGCACTTCTTTTTTTGGACTCCGGCTGGCGGCAGAGAGGCGGTCTCGCAGCACTGCAGCCCGCGCGCCCTATTTTGATACTTGGCTGTCTGCAAGTCACCGAGCCGGGACCTCTCTCCCGCCCTCTCCACTAGAATGCGACATGACCGCCGCGGCGGCTTTGCAGACCCAGCCCGCCCTCCCAACAAAAAAAAAAATGCAGCCGAGATCAAGGGACAATTCCGACGAGGCTCACGAACCCGCAGCATTTGATTGCGCGCGGCCTTGCCTCTGCTGCCTCTGCTGCCCCACCCTCTGTCGCGCTGCCTCGCTCCAGTCGTGTCCTTTTGCCTCGACGTGATAATAAAGATAGGTTGATGTAGCGGCCGGGTGGGACACACCACACCGTTTTTCGTTGTCTGACGACGGCATGCAGGTGCCACACCCCTGCGGGCCGCCCGTGCACCCACCATTTCAGTTCATCTGGTTCAATCCGTCCATCTGATCCAATCCATGCCGCCTGTCGGTCTGATGGGTCGAGCAGCCCATCCCGTTTCGACGCCTTAGCATCGACGGCCCAAGAATAACACAAAGTCAAACGAGTAAACAAGGCTGGATGGACTTGGGTTGCGGCTTTTGCTCGTTATCATCATCCACCCGCCGCTAGGCTCAGGCATCAATAATTGTTCAAGCCCGCGTGGCAGGTTGGGCCACCTTGTTTAGTGCAATCCTGACGTGACTCTCCTTCTGTGCTGTCAAAAAAGAAGCGACATTGAGCTTATTTGACGAGCTTTACCCAGTTCGATTCTCGTCGCAGCTGCCAAGGCCCGCCAGTCTTGCAGACGCGTCGAGCTGAGCGAATCGCGCCCCTTGAGGACTGGCCTTAGCGTTCCTCCGAGGGTTGTCGTCAGTCGGATGAGGGCATGGCTGGCTGCCCTTGGGCAGGGTGCCGAACAGGTGCGGAGAGGGGTCCTGCCCCTCCCTCAACCTCGATTGGAAATACTTCCCTGTTCGGTTGGTTTCTCCTGCTTCTTCCTGTCCTTCCTTCTTCTTCCCAGACCCATGCAGCCCCCGACGGGGGCCCTGGGCGGGATGGGGCCAAGGTCCGTCCGGCGCGGAGGACCCCTTCTCCCCTTCCACCACCCTTCCACCCTTCCACCCTTCCACTACCCTTTGGGGAATGCTCAATTGTTTATGCGCCGGGCCCCGTCACGCACAGACAAATGTGGCCCTTTTGCCAGCGCGCGCCGCAAACATGGTCGACGGCCGCCAAGCTTCCTTCTCCCCGGGCTCTCTGCATAACCACCGCGCGCGGGCTTCTGGCGCCATCTCGTCGTCCCTTCCACGGCCTTGGTTCGCAATCTGGACGGCTGGTGATTTCGGCGCGCGCGCATTGCGACTGGTCGAGAGCCCAGGTGGGAGGAGAGGCCCAGGCCGGACGGGCCAGGTCGGATCCCGTCTTTGACGGGTGAGGACGCCCTGGGTCGCGCCAGCCACGCGAGGAAGCTCCGAAGCGACATGTCTACCTTACGTAGCCCGGATCCACAGCACGGATCCATCGTAGCTGTGGCCCGGGTACGGGGTACTTCGAACCTGGGAGAGGCCTTCCATTTTGCACCTCCACCCGACTCCTTCACTTTCCGCACACCGCACCCCCCCTTGGGTCCCCACCTAAGCTACATAAGGGGTGGAGCCGGCCAACCGAACATCGCTCTGGGACTAGCGGCAACGGTACAAAAAAGAAAGAAGAAACAGGAAACCCGGCCTTTTGCCTACCCGGCAAATGGAGCACCAGTCGAGAAAAAAAAAAAGCAAGACAAGGTGAGGAGGGTACCTAGCAGTCTGCTGCGGGTAGGCAGAATATCGTCACACGCCGCCGACCGCAAATGCCTCGGGTTGAAGAGGACCGGGGGCTAAAAGACACAAAAGCAAAGCAGACTTTCTCCCCAGACAGGCATCCATCCACCATCCGTTCCGTTCCCCCGTTATGCTCAGCGCAGGTTGGCCTGGCATGCCAATGCACGCCGCATAGGGCTCACCCCTACATGTGCCTGCCCGTGCGCAAGTGCACGCATCACGCACAGTGGCACCCACCCGCGGCATCTGCCCCGTTGTGCCCGTTCCAGTCTCCATCAATCTCACTTGCCTGGGCAATAATGTTACATACGATATAGCAGACAGCAGGTACAACGATGGAGAAAGAAAAAAAGAACAAATAAAAAAAACCCGGCATGTCTGACCACACGAGGGCGGTCGATGTTTGCCCGCCGTGGGTCCCCCATGTCCACAGCGGAGGAGTGGCGATGGGGTGCCATGCCCACCAGCCCACCAGCCCACCGGCCCACCGGCACACCCACCTCTTGGGCCCGTAGGCAATCTACGCATACAAGCCGAAAAAAGCGACCGCCTACCCTGGCACTGGCACGCTTTGCCGAAGCCCTGTGGCCGGCCTGGCTCCATGCCCTGCCATGCCATGCCATGCCATGCCCTGCACACTTGCTGCACATCTGCAGGACTCCCTAGATCAGCGAGAAGTCTATGTGCTGTCTGGACCGTATGTTCTGTATGTACTGGATGTACATGCCTACCTGCCTAGGCACAAAGAGGTAAGTGTGTGGGCACACACTCAATACGAGCACCGCACAAAGCACACACACAGAGTCGTACTAGCAGGGCCGACAGGGTTGGTAAGTAGGTCGGTAGGTAAGGTACCTAGGTATGCGGCGGGCAGAGAGGCAGGTGTGTAAACCTGTATGGTACATGCCTCTTTTGTCCGCACGCAGAGGCCAGCCACACCACGTATGGCGTGTGCTTGTGAAGGGTGTGCACCTTGGCTTGCACCTTGGCTCCTCCCTCGCTCTCCCCCCTGGCTGGCACCTAGCTATACACACTACACATTGCATCTTCATAAGCACCTGCCCCCAGCTTGCTACCTACCTGGGCAGACAGGCGGGTAGAGGACAAGCAGACGGGCCAGGGGCCATGCGAATGCCCACCCCCGGCAGAACAGACATCATCGTCCGCCATCGAATAGTGCGCCGGCTTCCGACTGGGTGCTTGTGCCGGGTGTCAATCATAACAGCTCCAGTCTCAATACCACACGGCTCGTTCACCTTCTCGACGGTATAACCACCGGCTCTCCCCGGTCTGCCTCCTCCCCGCCCTTTTTTCTCCCATCCCATTTTTGTCCATCCCAACGCCAATCCTCCATCGTGTGACCGGTTCCCGAAAATCCCTCCTTGGAACCGTCCGCCTTTTTTTCCTCTTTGCCCTGCGAATATCAGACGCGGCATTGTCCTGCACCTCCCGCCCTCCACGCCGCCCGCCCTCGTCGTGTGTCTTGCTCGTTCCTGGCGGCACACACACACACACACACACACACAACACCCACACCCCCGTCCTACATCACACCGAACCTTGTGAAACCCGGTAACTCAATTCGGTAGCAGACGACACCTCGACAGCCGCGAGTCTGGTCTTTGGGAAACCGCCTAGCACGCAGCGCCCATTCCTCGCATCCCACCACATACACCCGCGGGCTAGAAAAAAAAGAAGCAAGGAAACCCAAGCAAGCGACCTACCGTTTTCTAGCCCGAGCCGCCCGCCGCCACACCCGAATTCTTACTTGATGCGTTCTTTTTTAACATTCTTTTCGTAATCACTTTTTTATTTTCCGGCCACACTCCCCTTTGCAGCCGCATCCTCGCCTCGTCTCGTATCGCCCCGGCCGCCTCGCTTGGTCCACCGCTTGACAGCCCAAGTCTTTGCTGGCTGACTTCCCAGCGAGTCCCCCCGAAGCAAGGAGCTCCCTCCACCGCCGAATCCCTCCCCGGGCGAACGCGCGGCGTTGGGTTGATGGGTCTCATCTGATATCGTGCAAAGAGGGGGATCTTTTCTCGGCAGCTGTCATTTTTCTCTGCCAGGGCCCTGCTGGGCGAGAAATCTGAGACCCGAGGAGCTGGAGCGGGCCCCCGGGAGAGAGAAGGCCTGAAAGCGGCTTTGCGCCAAGGCAGATCATCCCGTCAAACGTCAAACGTCAAACTCTCACACCCACAGACTCGGACCAGAGTACAGGCGCATCTGGCAAGCGCTCATCATCGCGGGGCTGCGCCGAGATTCGAAGGCGTTCCCGAAGGTGTCGCTAAGGATCACTAGTGCGCGTGCAAGCTGTCTAACCTTTGTACAGCTTTTCTGCCATCTTTCGGACATCACGAAGCAGCGCCGGCAAGAGCAAAGCAGCACCACCGGGCCTCTCGGACCGAATCGGCGCGCACAACAGGGCTGAACAGGCTGAAGCAGGGCTCGAGGATCACCGGAGACGCGATTTGTGTTCGAGGAAGCAGTGCGGGGCTGAAGAAGCACTCTGTGACAAGGCGTGTCATCACTTTGCAAACAGCCGACACCACCGCGGGCCGCATCCCACAACCCGAACAACGCCACGCTCGACCCTGACATTCGTGAAAGCGATCTGCCCCCCCGACGACCAGTGGGTCCTCTGCCTGAGAGGAGGAGACGAGTGAGGACGCGGTTCCTGCAGCCTGTAAGCCTCGCACCACCACGGCGGGCTTAAGCAAGACTCCCGGGACTGCGTGCTTTGGTCGGAAGTGCCGGATTTGCAGCAAAAAGGGTAATCTCGTTTTTGCGGCATCCCCACGCCCGTTCAGGCACGCCCTCCAACCTCTGGGCCGTTTTGCCACGCGCCCGCCTAAGCGCACGCTCTAGGGCTCAACTCTAAATCCCAAGACCGCAACCGCCCGCTGTGAGCCTGACCCCTCCCCGCCCGTGTCTGTGTCTCCTCGGTCGAGTCTGGTACCGGGCCGTCTTACTGCCTACTGCAGCCATAAACGGGCACTGCGCACACCCCCTCCTCGTACTCGTCCCAAGACCTGGCTGCGTGAGAGAGAGCAGCAGCTCGCACCACCACTGCACAATTCCCATCGTCAAGTCACAACCAGAAGCTCACCACTTGCTTCACGCCACCTCCTGGCCTTGAGCCGTCCACCCATAATACCCCCTCCTCCATCCACTGTCCCTGGTCGACCCCCTACCAGTCGGAACCACACCCTGCCGTGGGCTGCCCCTGTCAACCGGCCCCGCCCTACCTTGGTCGATACCTTGGTCGAGCTGGCGGACCTGGCCTTTGCTAGACCAGCCCACACCCCTCCTCGAGCCGTGGCCCTATAACAAAGCACATAATATATCGGCCGACGCTCCCCCTGCCCCTCCGCTGACAGCTAGCCAACCAACCTCGCTCGGCTACCTGCCTACACCTACCTGGCTCTTCCTACCCACCCACCCCCAATCCTGGTCCACCCGGAGCATATCAAGATCTTGTGCCATCGACATCAGGCTAGCCCTCGGGTCGCCGCCAACCCCAGCTCGCATCATCCGTCTCTGACCTTGTCGCATTCACCATCTCTTCCGACCAGACCAAGAGGACGAGAGAAGGCACACACACGCAGGAAGCACCCCGCCCGGAGCACGCTCGCTCCTTCTGCAGATCAGATCGACTCGTCGCATCATCCTCCCGTCTGCGCGAAGGACCGTTGGTAGCGCTGCCGTCACCCGACCACAACGAGGAAGGCGCGTTGCTGAAAAAAAAACTTGGGACGACAGCCGCGCTTTCCGTTTTCCACCACGAGCTGCCATCCCGATCTGGAGGGGAGAGTCAAGGCCAAGGCCGCCCTTGAACCGCCTCGTCCGTCGTCCGAACAGCGAGGATTGGCGCAGATCCGAGATCGCCTTCGCTTCCGGCCCGCTCGCGTGCGTTGGTTGTGTCCTGCGCATGATCTTGTCTCATCAACCTGCACGGTCCGTTGCTAGAGAAGCTTTCTCGTCGAGTACGACTACAAGAACTGAGCCTCCAGCTCATCACCGCTCATACAGCCTCGAGAACAAGACACGATCCATCTCGGATAACATATTCCACTACACCGCACCACCAGCCGGACAGTTGATGATGGTTGAGGACCGCTAGCAGCAGCCATTCCAACATTTATTACCCACCCCACCTCCCTAACCTCGGCCGTTTCTAAGCCAAGACATCTTTTGGTTGAAACGAGTCTAGCATCCTGTTGACCTTTCCGAAATCAGTTTCAGCAACCCACGGGTCGGCTGGAAACCCTTGCCACAACCACAGTTTCGACCCCCAGAAACCGCCTCTATGACGCTAGAAGCAAATTACCCCATACCAACGAGCTACCCGGCGCAGCCCAGTTACTCGATGCCGACCACAGAGGCCTTGTCGGGCAGGTCGCTCATGATGGGCACCGCCTTCGACCCTCAGTTGGCAGAAACGCCAGTCGAGGAGCCCGAAAATGGTTACACTTTGCACATACGACAGCACCCTAAGCACGCGCGGGTTGCCTTGGGCAAGGAGAAGGGTAGGTGCTGCTGCACGCAGAGCGCAATTTTCTAGAGTGCTGCTTCCGCTAACAGATGCTATGTTGCCTGGCAAATCTAGACCGGAAACCTATCGATCCTCCACCAATCGTCCAGCTAAGAAGGTCGACGCGAAAAGATCCCCATCAACACTTCCTACATAGTAAGCGGCGCCTCGATACTCCCCTCTCCGGCGAGCGCCAGGATGGCTAACTCTAGAACAGGCCCATATTATTTCATGACTTGCAGGTTAATAGCCGCCGACGATCAGAGCGAAGAGCCGTCGTCAAAGAGCCTCCTCGGAACGCTGGTCTCGTCTCTCCATCGCCTGAGGGATAGTGATAATCACGACGGCGGCTTCTTTGTGTTTGGAGATCTGTCGGTTCGGGAAGAGGGCACCTTCAGGCTGATGTTTTCGCTCTTCGACCTTAACCGCGCCGAGTACGATAACGTTGCGACGGCGATCACGGCCCCGTTTACCGTCCACCCCGCAAAGAGCTTCCCCGGCATGACCGAGTCGACCTTTCTGACGCGTTCGTTCAGCGACCAGGGCGTGAGGTTACGCCTGCGCAAGGACTCGCGGACCATGACGACGCGCAAGAGGAACCACCAGCACGCCGAGGTGGCGCGCAAACACTCGGACTGGGACAAGCAGCAGCACGACCCCTCCCGCCAGAACAGCATCATCGAGGGCCAGATAACACCCACGGAGCGGACCATGGGGTCGTTCCCCAGCGCGGGCGGCTACTACGAGCAGCAGAGCTCGCACCGGGGACACTACGACAACTACCCGCCGGATCCGTCTTACTACGGGTCAGAGGGCACCGTGAAGCGCATGCGCTACTCGATGCCCAGCAACGACGTGTCGCAGTCTCCGACGTACCTCGGGACGCACGACATGGGCCACGGCTTCGTGTCCGGGAGGAGTCCGTTCAGCAACGAGGCGAGCGGCGAGCCGCCGAGGAAGGTGATGCGCCCCAGCCTCTCGGGCTCGGGCAGCGACGCCAACCCGTCGCCGACGTTCCTCAGCTCGCGCCACCCGGCCATAACGGGCGGCGAGGTGACGCAGTCGCCGACGACGTACATGACTCCACGCCAGACGGGCATCCCCGGCAGCGAGGTGCCGCAGTCGGCGGGGTACCAGTCGACGGCGTACCTGTCGCCGCAGGACCTAGGCCACAGTTACGGGGCAGCAGCGGCGTCGCGTCCGGGTTTCTCGCCGGACGCGGGGGTCGCGCCCACGTCGCTCCCGCCGCCGTTGCCGACGACGACGACGACGACAGCCACGGCGACCGGATCCGCCTCGGTCGCGCACGACCTCACGCCGACCTTCGCCTCGGCGCGCGCGCCGTATCAGACGGATCCCGTGTCCGTCTCGCTGCCACTGCCCAACACGACGACGGCGTCTACGATGCCGCCGCTGACCATGAGCCACGCATATCAGGCGCACCCTAGCTACCCTCCACATCCACATCGCATAAACACTCAGCTCGGCAGCCAGGAAGTTAAGAGCTGGTGGTGAATATGTCACCTTGATTCTTTTCCCCCATCTTCTTTTCTTTTGTTTCTGTCTCTGGGCTGGCTTTCTCCCCTGTTTATGGCGAGGATATACATGCTTTAAAATACCTATTGATACTTGATGTCATGATACCTTTATACATCTATTTTTTGCGATTCCCCCAATCCTTCGTTTCTCCCTTTCAGCAATTTCCTTTTTCAAGGCTGGCTTTCGTCCTCCCCGCCCCATCTTTTGTTTGGATTCCCGCTCTACACCTGTTTAGCCTTGGGTGGTATTACTACTTAATACCTTTAGGTGTTGCCCGGCGTGACAGTTCGTTTCTTTTGTTCAGCTACCTGTTTCCGTTTCGTTACTTGTCAGCCCAAGATCCCAACCTCCTATCCCCGAGCCAGATGTAACACGTCATACATACCATACTCTACATGCCCTCACATACCCAAGCGAGTCATTATTTCCGTGGACAAAAACAAAAGAAAACGAAAACACTCTATTCAATGCAGCCCAAGGAGAGACGCTGCAAGTAGCTGGATGGCTGGGAAAGCTCGTTGGCGGAATGCGAATTCGAGCGCGGCTGGGTGGTCTCGTCTGCTTTTTATTTTGTTTGTTACGCGTTATACCCCCCCCTCAAAGAGCCCAAGACCTCACCCGCGGCTTTCGCCTAGCTGGTCGGCTAGGAGATAGCACGTCGGGTTTCTAGGTCCCTATGTAGTCAGCGAATGCATTTGATGACATTTGATTTTGCGCTTCCGCCTTGACACTGACTGGGGGGCTCTGGACGAAACAAGTCGATCGCATTGTCGCATCTCGATTGAAGCTTTGCCCACCCTGAATCCGCGCCTTCCCCAAACAACACAACCAATGACGTATCCTCTTGGCGTCGCAGCAATCCCCAACCCCGACCGTCTTGGCAAGCCGCATTGACGACAAGACTGGCTGGGTGACAGCGACTTGCTACTGCCAGCAGCAACGGGAATCTGTGTCCCCGCTCCAGCTAGTTCGAGGTGGCGCAAAGAGACGGCCGTGACAGGTGAGACGGCTCGACCAAGTTGGAACTTGTTGTTCCACCGCCCTCTTTTTTTAATGCGATCCTCCCCGTCTCCGCCTCCCTCCTCACCTAACTTGACTCGATAGTCCCAAGCCCGGTAGTTGGGATTCATGTTTCCCCTCACCTCCTCCGAACCCAACGCCCTGCAAGGATCGAGGTCTTGACCTCCGAACGGGGAAACAATCTCGCACCAGATCCCTACGCCGCCCAGTGCCGGCCCATCTTGATCCCCCTAACACCTGCAGCCCGGGCGTCCAGGAGAGCCAGAGCCCACATATAGAGACGGCACCGCCTGCCCATCCCGTCTGACCTGCACCTTGCTCTGTCCTTCATACCGCTCCTATTGCCGGCACGTCCAGCGGTGCTGGATTTGCTACTCACCGCCGTTGTTTCTTTTTCTCTTTGCCAACGGGGCTCTGTCGACAAAGATCAACAACAGCACCCAACGCGACCTCCAGCCATGGCCATGACAGCACGTCCTCGGCGTGGTGGTGCGACCACCATCGCGGCGGCGGCGGCGGCGGCTCTTCTTTTGGCGTGCTCGCCGAGCCCGGTTGCGTCCCAGGCGACCTGCCCGAATGCGCTGACGCCCTCGTACGCGAGCCCGGTGCTCGGGGCCGGGTGGACGGCGCAGCTCGTCGCCAGGGGGCTCAGCGACCCGCGAGGCATCGTGCTTGACAGCAGCGGTGGCCTGCTGGTCGTCGAGCAGGGCCGCGGGATCCGCCGCATCACCTTCAAGGAGGACGGCAACGGCGCCTGCTTCGGCGTCGACAAGAACCAGACCGTGGTTGATCTCAAAGAGGTAGGGTTGGTTGGTTGGTCGGTTGTGGGAGCATGTCGGGATTCTCGTACGTGCGGCGGCGACTGACTTCCAAGTCCACAGCTCAACCACGGGATCGAGCTGTCCGACGACGGCAAGACGCTGTACGCGTCGTCGGCCGACTCGGTCTACTCGTGGGAGTACGACGCCGGCCAGGGCGCGGCCAAGGCCGACAGCCGCAGGACGCTGATCAGCGGCATGGCCAGCCAGGGCCACACCTCGCGCACGATCTTGATGTCGCGCAAGACAAAGGGCACGCTGCTCGTGTCGCGCGGCAGCGCCTCCAACATGGACGCCGACGCGCGCGACAGGGGCTCCGGGGTGTCGCAGATCCGCGCGTTCGACCTCAGCTCGCCGCCGACCGACGGCGGCCGCGCGCGCGCCTTCCGGTACGCGTCCGAGGGCAGGCTCGTGGGCTGGGGCCTGCGCAACTCGGTCGGCGTGGCCGAGCACCCCGGGGCGGCGGGCGGCGTGTACAGCGTCGAGAACTCGGCCGACGACGTGAGGCGCATGGGCGCCGACGTGCACCGCGACAACCCGGGCGAGGAGATGAACTTCCACGGGCCCGTCTCGTCGCCCGCGGGCGCGAACCACGGGTACCCGGACTGCCTCGCCCTCTGGGACACCAACGTGCCGCAGGGCTCGGGCATGAGGACGGGCGCGCAGTTCGCGCTCGGCGGCGAGGGGAGCAACGTCACCGACGCCGCTTGTGCCGGTAGCAACTTCGCGGCGCCCAGGCTCACGTTCCAGGCGCACACGGCGCCGCTCGACCTCAAGTTCTCGGCCGACGGGGCCGAGGCCTATGTTTCGTTCCATGGAAGCTGTAAGTGGTGGCCCTTAACACTATGCACATATTCTGCCCTGGACGGCGCACTAAACTATAAAAAAACAAAAAAAAAAACAGGGAACAGAGACGACCCTGTGGGGTACAAGATCTCAATGATCAGGTTCGCCAACGGCGAGCCCACCGAGCCGGCTGACAGCCGCTCGTCGACTGTCGATATCATGTCAAACCCAGACCTCTCGGCCTGCCCGGGGCGGTGCTTCCGCCCCGTCGGCTTGGCTATGGACCAAAGGGGTCGCATGTTCATGAGCTCGGACAGCACGGGCGAGATTTACTTGCTGCGAAAGTCTGAGATGGCCGCGACCGACACTGGGAAGGCTGGTGGTAATAATGGTGGTGCTAGCAGCGCTGGTGAGTCCCCCCCGTCTGCGTCTTGTTGTTTACTTGCTTTTTGCCCAGCCGCGTCCTCCCGTCATACTTGGGGGCAACCCCCATAGATGGATATAGTTCACGATGGCGGCTGCTAGGGTCTTGTGACTTGGATGCTGACACTAGGAAATCCCGTAGGCCACCTTGTAATGCCGAGTCTGCTGGGATCGGTGTGCCTGATGCTCTTCTTCCTCCACGCCGGCAGTCGTTGGTAGACTTTGGCGCATTGTGCCGGAGCTAGGCCCGTGCACCGGGCCTTACCTCTGACAATACGCCTTCTTCTGGGGTGTGACGATTCCATAGTATCAATAACAAACGTTGGATCATCCTTTAGCTGTTGACATCACCACTTCCTTCTCCATCGTCCTCTGCTTGGGGGCACGGGGGGTGGAAGCCGTCCCATTCCGCTGCCGGCACTGCCTGCCGAGCTGGCTTGCTTGCCCACCACGAAATTTCGGCTCGTTCCTGATTTCGTGCGGCCCCTTGGGCCCGGGGCCTCCATCTTCTGATCTTGCCACTCATGGTTATCGCAACACGTGCGGACAAGCATAGGTCAGCGGGAAAAATAAGCTTATTCTCCCGCATACCAAAACGGACCAAACCTCAATCCAAGTGCACCGTATGATCCCTTTGCTCGGTCATTCCAAACGTTGGATGTCTCTCGCGGCCATGTTGTGCCGTGTCCAGAGGTGACGAAGAAGAAAACGAAAAGCAGAAAAACCTTGACAGGCTGATGGCTGTGTTCGAGACGGAGCAGAGCCGCATCGTGGCTGCGTGGGCACAAGACAATGGAAGCATAACTTCGGAACGATGCGGGCACGACGAGATTACCCTCAAAGGATAAGGGCTTGGTGGCGTTTAAAAAGTAGCCCGCAACAGACTCATGAACCTTGGGTATTGAAGGCGTCCGGAGGTGATGATATGCCAGAGCCTGATCCCAGCAGTCGCTTTTGTTTTTGTTTTCTTTTGCGAGGAGTGCGTGTCAATATTCACGTAGGGGGCGTTGTTGACCATGGCTCTCTGGCGGCCGTCCATAAAATCGCTCCTCTACGTGCCTTTCACCCCTTTCTCTCCTTTCTCCTTACCACCAAACAAGACAGTATCAACACCGCACCCACTGTCCACTCTCTCTACACCGGCTACAAGGCCATCTTTGTTACTTGCCAGAACCTTTCGTCTTCGATGTTTTGGGTCCTTCTCGACCTTGTCAGCCAAAGTGTGCTGGCCCTTCGCCAGCCCGACATAAACCATCTCCATATGCCATACCACCTTGACCGGACTGGCCACACCCACCTTTAGCCCCTTCCCTCAACCCCTGCCTCTCAATATGGAGAGACAGAGCCCGACTTACCACCCCCATCAACAACAACGGCAGCAGCAGCAGCAGCAGCAGCAGCAGCCATCCCGGATCCCAGCGTGGGCCACCCAAAGGAACGAGGCGCCATCGCCGCCGCCGCCGCCGCCGCCGCCCTCGCAGCGGCCGCCATGGCGCACAACAACATCGTCGGCCCTGCTCTTCGCGAGCATGGAGCCCGTCACGCCCCCGGACCAAATCATACCCGCCGAGCCGGGCAGCCCACCTCCGGCGCCCCCTCCTCCTCCACCCCCTCCGGCGGCGGCGGCGCTGCGCTACGGCGACGACGGCGGCGACCTGCGCGGCGAGGCCTTTCGGAGCATGCGGGACGAGCTGGCCGGCGTGTCGTCGGACCTCGACGACCTCGCCCTCCTCCTGGCCTCCTCCACCCCGGACGCGGCCCGGGACTTTGACCTCGACCTGGAGCGGCTCGCCGCCGACGTGCGCGACTACCTGGCCGAGGCGCGGGAGCGGTGCGGCAGGTGGGTTGACCGGCTCCAGATGTGGCAGCAGCACCAGCAGTACCAGCAGCACCGGCAGCAGCAGCAGTACCAGCAGTACCCGTACTACCCGCAGTACCCGATGTACCCGATGTACCCGCAGCGCCAGCAGTACCCGCAGCTCCAACAGCAGCAGCAGCAGCAAACGCAGCTGTCGTCCCCAAGCCTAGACGTGCCCATCAGCAGCAGCAGCAGCAGCGGCAGTAGCAGCAGTGGCTCGGAGGAGATGTACCCCTTCCCGGCGTTGGGTGGGTATATGTTTGGGCCCCCCGTCCGCCCGGAGCCGCGCCGGTGGGAGCCCCCGCCCCTGAGGCCGGTCTGGGGGAGGCCGCCGACGCCCGGCCCCGGCCGGGGACTGGAGGCGGCGGCGGCGGCGGCGGCGAGAGCCATGCGCCGGGGCTCAATGCGCCACCCCTCGCCCGTGCTGCCCGCCTGGAGACCCACGCCATACCCCTACCCAGAACCCGCTGCGTTCGACGACGGGTCGTATCCCCTCCCCGCGCCCGTCCTCGACCGCCGCCCCAGCCCCCACCCCAGGCCTAGCGATAACGACGGCGACGACGACGACTGGGCGGAGCGGGCCTGCGCGCGGCGGCGGGGCGACCTGCGGCCGTACCAGGCGCACAGCCACGCGTGCCGGCTGCGGCGCGAGGGCGACCAGCCGCCGCTGCACAACCTGACGTGCTGCGGCTTCATGTGCCGCCCGTGCCGCGACCGCTTCCGCGCCATGTCGTGGCCCTCGCTGCTGCCCCGCGGCGCCCAGGGCCCCGCGCCCGAGCCGATGACGGGGGACCCGCCCGCCGGAGCCGACGACATCCCGCGGCTGCCGCAAACGCGGGCGCAGTGATGGTTCGTGCATGTGAATTCTCAAGACTGAGGTGGGGATGGAGGGGATTGGTTCTTTGTCTCCTTGCGCTAGTATTTCCAACTTTGTTGCATTATTTCGCCTTCTTTCCCTTTTGCTGGCTTTTCTTTCTTTTTCTTTTTCTTGTTATTCTTTCCTCTCTGGCCTTTTTCAATCACATGCCTTGCGCCTTTTCCTTTCTGTCCTCATATGAAAAAAGGAAAAAAAAGCAAGTTGGCCAAGCAAAGCACCAGCAACGCATCATTTCGATTTTCTCTTTTTTCCCGTGCCGGACTTCGGGAGACCATCCTGTCACATTTCGCTCGCTTTTACTAGTTGCGTCTGCCTTGGATTCCTTGCAGCAAGCCCATTTTCTTTTGTCCTTTTTTTTTGTCTGGCGCCATGGCTGCTTTAGCCGACCGACATCACTGCCCTTACAGGAAGCCTCTCCTTTTCGTTCCTTTTTATTCGTCTTCATGGACGCCTGGCCGCTCGTTTGTTACTGGGAAATGTCCCTTTTTCATCTTCAAGAACCTTCTCCCTCCTGTCCACCACTTGAGCTAAAACAACCACATCAACAAGAACAATGCACCTCCCGCCAAGTAACTCGCATATCTACCCGGCGATACCGGTTGTCAAAATTTTGTGCCTATGGCGCACATGGGTTCCTCAAGTTTTCCCTAACCTTGAGGCCGTGTAAATCCGGCATTGCAAGGTTTGCGTGTATGCAAGCCACCGCAGTTATCCAAGTAGGCACCCATCCACCTCGGCAGCATCACAGTGGTGCTAGAAATGAAGGAGGTCCCGTCCCGCCGCGGCAACCAGGTGAGTATTTATTTCCCAATTCTACCAAGATTTACAAGTGGAAACGAAGAAAAAAACAGCACGCTATTACACATTCTAACAAGCCCCCCCAACACCACAGTCCCCTCCCTCCCTCCTCACGGCCCCCAGCCCCCCAAAACCCTCCCCTTCACGGTTACCTCGTCGCGCCAGGCTGCCGGCCGCCACCGCCCCCATCGAGCTCCGAGTATCCCGCGACGGGACCCGAGTGCCACGACATGCCGGGGGCGGACGCCTCGGACGGGCGCAGGTGCTGCTGCGACGATGCCGTGGCGGGCCGCGAGCCGGCGGGCTCGTAGGTGTGGCGCGGCGGCGAGGCCCCCAGCCCCGAGGCCGTGTTGGCGGCCGACGACGGCGGCCGCGGGAAGGCGGCGATGGCGGCCGCCGGGAACTCGTACAGCCCCTGGGCCTGGCCCTGGAAGCCCGGGCCGAAGGGGGACGCCGGCACGTTGCCGTACGGGCCCGCCTGCTGCAGCGGCAGCGGCTGCTGATAGCTACCGTGAAGCTCTGGCCTAATCATGGTGCTGTATGTCTGCTGGCCCAGCATCTCATGCGCGCCGCCCGGCTGGTATTGCTGCTGCTGCTGCTGCTGCTGTCCATAGGCCTGGAACTGTCCGTTTTGGCTATAAGGCGAAGGCATGACGGGCGACACGTTCTGCGCCCCCGCTTGTTGCTGCTGCACGCGGCTCTCGTTGTGGAGCTCGGTCGGCATCGGGGGCGACGGGAACGCGCCGCCGCCGCCGCCGTGCTGGTGGTGGTTGTGGTTGTGGTGCGCCGAGACGGGCGAGACGTTGTCGGCGATGCGCTGCGACGCGTGCGTCTTGAGCATGCTGGGGCTCGGGCTGGACGGCGGCAGGTCGGCGGCCGTGATCATGGCCCCGTCCAGCTCGGGCTTGCCGCCGCCAAAGTCCTGGTCGGCCGACGACTTGGGCTGTACCATGGCGATGTCCTCGGCCGCCTTCTTGCGCCGCGCGTTCCGCATCAGGTAGAAGACGGCGACGCCGATCCCGAGCAGCAGGGCCACCCCGCCGCCCGCCGCGCCCGCGATGACGCCGGTATTTGAAGGCTGGCTCGTCCCAGAGCTCCCGTCCGGTCCCCCGTTCGCACCGCCTCCGCCTGCGCCACCGCCGTTTCCACTACCACCACCAGCCCCGCCGGTTTGGCCGGGGCCTGGAGCAATCGTGCCGGATCGAGGGACGGGAAAGGTCTGCTGGATCGACTCGGCAATGCCCGTGGGCTTGACCTGGCCCTTGGCCGCGCTGCAGTAGACGTCGAGCACCGCCAGGGCCGACGTGATGTCCTCGCTGGCCGTGGAGGAGCAGGACCACTTGACGCCCGACGTGACGCTGCTCGAGACGGAGCCGAAGATGCTCTCCTTGATGCAGACGCACGACGCGAGGGCCTGCACGCCCTCGGGGCAGTAGTTGTTCGCCTGCGACTTGATGGCGTACGACACGGCGCTCTGGGCGCACGGGGCCATTGCTCTGTAGCACCAGAAAGATCACCCCCCCCCCAGTCAGCGAGCATCCTTTGGTTGCCCCTACACAAAAAGCACGGCCCAAGAAGGAGATCATAAGCGAAAGTGAGAATTTTTGCCTACGAGTATTGCGGTAGGGCCGTAATATAGTACGACATGTCCCCCGGCGGCGGCGACGGCTGCGGGAAGTTGGAGATGCCCGACACGGCCATGTTGCAGTAGGCCGAGAACATGGCCTGCGCCGACGTCACGTCGGCCATGTGCGACGTGCAGCTGTACCGGACCGACGAGTTGATGATCTGGCTGACCTTGAGCGAGTTCTGGTTCTTCATGCACGCGCACGTCGCCAGGTTGCTCGCCTCGGGCGGGCAGAAGCTGTTGGTCATGCTCTGCACCGCGTACCCGAGCGCCCCCTTGGCGCAACCCGCGAGGTACTGGAACTCGGGCAGGTCCGAGATGTAGTTGGTCACCGTGATGGACGGCGGCGCAAACGTCGGCATCGCGTTCTGGTTGCAGTACGCCGACAGCACCGTGGCGGCCGAGGCCTGGTCGTCGCTGGCGGTCGAGCCGCACGAGTAGCTGACCGAGCTCGAGATTCCCGACGATATGGCGACGATGTTGTTGTTCTGTTTCACTCGTTCAGCACCACTGCTCCACGGCCTGTATAAAGCGCGGCCTTCCTCCTATTCACCTTTGTGCAGACGCAGCCCTGAAGATCCGTCACTGCTTGGGGGCAGTTTGCCCTGGTCTGGGACATGATATGGTAGCTAATCGCCGATGCCGCACATGGCGCCTGAAAACGAGTTTGCATCAGCAGCTGTTCAAGGAGTCACTAGAAAACGGGCCCGAAGAGTTCCATACCAGTCTTGAGAAAAGTGGCAAATCTGTCACATAGACGACACTCTGCCCTGTCCTCGCGAGGGCGAGGAGCAGAAGCCCCAACGGCGTCGCTTTCAGGTGTGACCCCGACATTACGACACGAGATAGGGAGAAAAAAAAGGAGTATAAGCCAAATAGAAAAAAAGAGCCCAAATGCAACCGAAAGAAAGACACAAACGGTGTCGAATCAAGCGATCGTGCCGCCAGAGGCCAGAGACAGTGATTTTCAAGGTGAAAGGTGAGGGACCGCGTCGCGACAAGAGAGAAGAAGAAAAGCAGCGAAAGAAAAAAAAGCGACCGAAAAGGCGGCAATCTCGTCGTGCCCCTAACAGCAGCCTTAGTCTTTCAGCCCAAGCGGGCGTCGGACAACGGTCGCGTCCCCATGGTGGCTTCACGGAGGGGGTAGGACAGGCCAAGACCTTCAAATCCTGGCAAAGCGCCAGACCCCTGACAGCTGAACTTTTCCCCTCCTGCTTTGCCCAATGGCAACCTGGCTGAAATCCTCCTCGGGAATGGTGTGTGCCTCACAATGGAGACAATCCATCACACGGTTATCTTAGGAGTGGTACCTTTTTTTTTTCTTTGAGTCTTAAATAGGAGGAGATCGCCTGTTGTGGAGGGGAAGAGGGCGGGGCCAGAAAGCTCGCACACAACACGCCGCGCGTTCTCTCATGTGCTTCGAGTAATCGAGACGACGTCCAGCAGTTATACTCTTGGCTCGGGAGGGTTTTTCAATCGCGAGCCTTGAAGCGTTGAGCACCAAGGCAGCACTCATAAGCAAACTGGCGATTGCTAAACCCCGGGCCGTTGTCTCATAAGCGGCAGCTAAACTTCTTTCAAGTCGTCTATAGGAGTAGCTAGATACGAGCAGAAGAGATGCGGATTGTGTGCAATATGAGAATGAAATCTGGTGGGGATAATCTCATCTTCTAAGTGCATTCCCAACCCAGCAACAAGCCTAGCACCATCACGGATGGTGCCGTTATCTGGCGGGGACTAGTCCAGAGGAAGGAGCGGAAATGATCTAGGGGCTGAGAAACGCCACAAGTCGGGACGCAGGGGCAAGGGATCCCGCGAAAGAGATGTCTGTGTGTCGTTTAGGTAGCTCAAATAGGAAATCTAGAAAAGAGCTGCTTTGTCTTCTGCCTCGAGGTCTGCCTCGTCTCCACAGCCAACCGGGATGCCGAAGCATGAGTCACTCATTTCTCAAATAGCAACTGCCGCCCCGGCTTTCGAACCATTCCGAGCTCAATGTCTGGGCGAGCGTGATTGTCGGTCGCTGAGAGTAACCCTATCGGCATGTGCTCGCCCACTGTCATGTTTCCGGCGGCGGCTTCAAAGGCCGCCCTACGGATCTGCAACGCCGCATCCGATGCTGTCGAGTCTTGCGAGTCGTTTTGGCCGACTTTCTCGTCGTCGCCCACGATCTGATCGGCCGTTCTATAAATGATTTCGGCATATTTGGCGAAATTACGCTTGTGGCCTGTGTTGGTAGACGGAGTCGTGATGGCCTCGGAGGTGCGCTTGACGCCGCCAACATCACCAAACAGCATCCCAGTGCTCGAAGCCACAGTCAGAGGTGCATCCAACAGGTCCTCAAGCACATCTGCGTCCGACTTCCGGGTCGCCCGAGTCTCCTGGGTTTCAGACCGCTTGACCTGCAGTCTTGGAGCCAGTTGTGACAGCTGGCTATCGTATTCGAAGACTTCTCCTGAGCAGCAGTGACCGAAGAGGCTCCTAATATTGATGCCTAGGGTTAAGTTGGAGTCAGCCTCACACCTTTGAACCGCTGAATATCCCACCGACCTAGAGCGGCAACGACATACCGTGCTTGATCCACTCCGCAGGATGGGCAGTGCATGGCCAGACGTCTCTTGGCTTGAATTTCTCGACCAGGTGGCAGAGCTCCGAATATGAGGAATGCCGAGAATAGGGGAAGGTGATGGTTTTGGGGAGCGACCTGGCGCCGCCAACGGTGACGCTGACATTCGGCACCGCATAGCCGCCCTGCCCCGACGGCTTCATACTCCTTTCCAGAGCACTGGCGAGATCCGTCTGATTGTTGTCGTCGAAAGAACTGATGTCGATGTCTAGGCTGGCGTTGCGTCCGGTGGTGATGGATGTCTCGACAAGCTCCGCGATCTTGGCCTTCGCCTCTTCCGAGATGCCGGCATAATGTGATAGGCTGCAAATCCTGTCAGTGTTTCCACGCTATGGGACATCTCGGAGTCACGGGCGTGATTATCGTACGCGTCCAGAAAATCCTGTACGGAGGAAGGATCAAGCTCCGCCTCACGCTCTAGATCATCTCCGCCGCCGCCAACGCCAGCTTCGGCCACCTCGCTGCCATCCGGTAGCCGGGTTATAATGGGCACAATATGAACAACCTGTGGGTTGCGCGTAGTGGTGCACTGGTTCCCTTTCTCGCAGCTGTGAAGCCGCACCGTCTCGTCGTCGGTGAGGCAACCTGGGTGTGGGGTGTTGCCACACATGAAGCCAACCAAGGCCGGAACCTCAGGTCCCATATGGAACTGCGCCATGTTTCTGTCTTTGGGCGCTAACGATCGGTAGAGGCCGAGCCTGTAGCTATCGATGTGGATCTATTAATTGGAGCGTGGGCTGTCAGAAGGATGTAGGACCAACAAGGGCTGAAACACGACCAACCTGAGATCGCAAGGCCTTGGCAAGCGCAATCCACACGGCTTCATATCTAGAGGAGGGGTTAGCACACAGCTGCAGCCGAAGCTGGATCCCGAGTGAGGGGGAAAATGTGAACTCGCCCGAATGTCCAAGCTCGGAAGTGAAAAACCGTGTCGTCTGGGTACTGGGCTACTTTTCTCAGCAGCTCCCGTATACCGTCTGCCTTGGGCGGGAAATGGGTGTCGTCAATGAACGACGTGTCCAGGTATATCCTGTCCAGAGTCTTTATCCCACAAGAATACTCCAGCAAACACGGACTTCGCGCAATGGCACTGATGTGCCAAGGCTCGCTCCTGATATCTCCTGCAAGACCGTAAGCAATGGCGCCCAAGTGAACGGGCCAATAGGTGACTTGCCAGTGTAAACGACAGCTTTTCCGTCGCCCTCAAAGAGAAACATGACGGCGCCGGTGCAGTGGTTTGCATCAAACAGCGTCACGCGCAGCCTCCTGCCGGGCTCCAGCTCGATGGTGGTGGGCGTCTCGAGCGGGATGGGCTTGAGGAGGGTTTTGAGGTGCTTGTAGGTCTGAACCCTGGCTTCCAAGATGCCATTGGCATAGTTGATACGGCAGGGGTACCGTTCGAGCCGCAGGAGCAGCTCCCTGGTCGGGGCTGAGCAGTAGACGCTGTGGAGAAGTTGGGTTAGAAAGCGATTGCATGTCTGTTTCCAAACCGGATATTCAGCCTCACAAGGGGGAACGGAGAGACTCCAGGCCGGCCAGGTGGTCACTGTGCACATGACTGAGGAAACACGCCAGGGGCGGGCGCCTGTTGGGGTTCTGGCGAAAGAAATCGACTGGCCGGGTGGAAATGTCGTGCGTTAGTCACTGCTGCTGCTGCAGGACGGGATGCTGCAGGGCAGGGGTACTTGCCTCGAATGTCGGGGATTTCTCTGATTATTCCATCGAAAGTCGACATGTTGACGGCCGTCTGCTGGTCGCTCCCCTTTTTGCACCGCCTGCGCCCAGTTCAGGCTCCTGTTGTGAGTTTGGTGACGTGGAAGTGGGTGGAACGCGAAGTGCGAGGTGGAACTGCAAAGGAGGATTACAGCTGGTGCCTTCCTCAGGAACCTGTGGAACGAGAGTGGTGTCACAGCAGGAACGATGGCCCAACTCTCGGAGGAACAACCCCCGCGAGCAGAGACGCCCGGTCAATTTTCCCGACGAATTCAATTGAAGTCTTGGGCTCTTAAATAAGAATGGGGAATGACGAGGGAAGAAGGCAAAGCCAACGTTCCTTTGTCACTCTTCTCACCCCAACCCGCCGCCACGGCCCACGTGCGCACGCAGTGGTTTGCTTCACGAACCCAATGGCCATGTGCGACAGATTTCACACAGATTTTTAACAAGGGACACAACTGCTAATGTTAGCCCCTGATATCTGACATGCAGCCTCCATTGCCAAACGCCGGAAAAGTCTACATAAAAATACATGGTAATGAATGCAAGCATCCATGCGAAGAGAGTTTTGACTGTTTGTGCGGCAATCGGTTTCTAGAGCGGCTCATACGGTCCCCTTGCGCCTCCTGATCTGGATCTTGACGTCGAGAGGGGGCACAATCGTCTGCCCGATCCATATCGGCTTGGGCCGGTCCGTCAGAGGCTTGATCTCGTATTTGAGAAGCATGTGGGCGAGCATCATCTTCATCTCGTGCGCCACGAAGAAGCGGCCGGGACTGTGAAGCAGATTCGTCGAGTTAGCATTTAAAAGCATGGCAAAGAAGGGACGTCACCTCCTGCGAAAGGAAAAAAAAAAAGGAAGAAAAAAAACCTACCAAGCATGCCTACCGTGGCCAAAGGCTAGGTGGTTGTCGCCCGTGGTGACCATACCTAGCTTCTTGAGCTGCAGCCACTCGTCGTTGTCCCTGTTGTCGGCGGGGCGGGCGTCGAACTCCTCGCGCGGGCGCGAGAAGCGGAAGGCGTCGTAGCGGTAGGGCTCCTCGTAGACCTCGCCGTCGTGCTGGACGCCGTCGAGGTTGAGCATCAGGTAGCTGCCCTGGGGCACGTGCCAGCCCTCGGCCGGGTTGGTGATGCCCTCGGGCGCCATGACCTTGCGCTTGGTCAGCGAGGTGGCAAAGGTACTGACGCGCTGGCTCTCGCGGATGGCGCTGTCGGCGCGGTACATGCGCCAGAGCTCATCCTTGGTCCAGCGCCCGCCGCAGTCGGCCAGCAGCCGCGCCGCCTCGTCGCGGAGGCCGTCGAGGACGCCGTCGGCCGGGTCCGTCGTCAGCAGGTCCAGCATCAAAAAGTGGCCCGTGATGACGGTCGTGTGGATGGCGGCGAACTCGATGGGGATCAGCCGCTTGGAGATGGCGACCGGGTTGAGCTCCTCCTCGCGGCCCTCGCTGCGAGCCATGCGGATAGCCCACGTGAAGAAGTCCTCGGGCGGCTCCCACTGGTCCAGCGCCGGGTCGCCGCCCTCCTTGCGCGCCATCATGTCCAGCCTGCGCTGGATCACGGGCTCCAGCACCCGGAAGCCCTTGCGGTAGTGCCACCAGTTCCGGACCGCGATCACGCGCCCGACTATGGGCTGCAGAGTCTTGGGCACCATGTTGAGGATGAAGCTGTTGATCACGACCACGTCGGCAAAGTCGACCATGCTCTTGAGGAAGTCGGGGTCCCTGCACGCCTCGGTGCCCACCAGCAGGTGGTTGGTGGTCCTGGGCACGATCTTGAGCCACGCCTCCCACAGGTTCAGCGACGTCCAGTTCTCCGTGTCGGTGCCGAAGGCGTCGTCGATGGCCGACTCGACCTCGCCCTGGAGCGACGGGATGAGCTCGTTCAGGTGGCGCGAGAAGTTGCGGTGGGCGACGCGGATGTGGAACGCGTCGGTGGCGTACTGGCGGCCCAGGAACTGGTACTCGCTGTACATGACGTCGCTCTGCGCGTGGGCCGACGACAGGATCCGGTCGGGCAGCTCGAGCATCCAGGCCGTCTGCGAGGGAGGGACGACGACCTCTTGGGGGCGCGAGGCCGCCGACGGCACAACAAAGGCTCGGTCATGTTTGGAATACTGCGGGTCGGCAGTCAGCAGCCGCTCGTGAGGCACGCGAATATCTAGGTAACTTGGACCGCCAGCCTGCTCACCTTCTTGTAACCGCTATCCACCCACTCGGGAAAATGGAATACATAACCCAGCCAATTCCTCACAGTCGCAATCATGCCAGAGCCATGGCCGACGCGGGGAATCGACTTGGGATACCTTGGCAGCTGGGCGATGTCGACAATGAACGAGATGACAATGAAGGAGAGGACAGCGCCGACGACTCGAGCGATGGTGATGCGGCCGAGCAGCTCGACCAGGATATTTTCGCCCGCCATCTTTCGACTGCTGGAGGAACGTGGTCGGTGCCGGCGAGGCGAGATCGGGGCAGGGTGGTTGTGGATTAGGGGTGAATTAACGTCGACGTTGGCGCTCGGCGACCAAAGAGACTGAAGCGAAAAAAGGAGGACGGGCACGAAAGAAAATCCCACCGATTCCAGCAGTGATCCAGGACGCCTCTCTCGGAAGGGAACGGGAATGATGACAGAGACAAGAGACGCCCGTTCCATTGCCGACGGGCCCGATCATGGCAGAAACACAAAACGCACGGGGCCCGGCATGGTCAAACAAGGGGCATGCATAGGCGGGTCGTGGCGGCTGGGGAAGCTGGCCAACGGCCCAGGGTAGGCTGGATCCCAAGCCACTGCTCTGCAGGGATGTGTCCCGTTTTATCGTTTATCTTGTTTTAAGGTTAGTGTGGTTCCGTGGGCTAGTCGATCTTGTGCCATTGCCATTGACGGGGGGGCTCACCTGCCGTGTTCATCACTCTGGCTCTAGGCCGAGGTGGATTTCCTGTGCCAGCAGCATTCTCTAATACTGTAAAAATCTGTAAAATGCCTTTGAGGCTATTCCGGGCCTCGCGTGTGCCTCTGTCGTGCATGGCGATTCGAGGTGGGACAGCATGGACGTGATTTTCCCCAGCTGCAGCTGGTGGTGGCTGACGTGGCCGATTGACCTTGTGAGATTGGAGTGAGATGTGGCGCAAGATTTTAGACCTATCCTGCTCCCTTCTCCCTTCTCGCTTCAGCTGCCGCTTCAACCTCCTGCATCCCGGCATCTGTCCTGATCTAATCGGAAGCCGGCAGCGGCAGTGGCAAGTGATGCCAAGCGCCAGCCGGAAGCATCGACTTCCATCGGCCGACTGCAGGTCGTGAAAGCCATCAGTCCAGTCCTCCTCCTCAAGCGACTCCAACCGAGAGCCCCAACTGGCGGCTAATTATGGATGATGGCCTGGCCTTCTGCAGGGTCCCGGGACGGGACGAGGGCGCCCGTCACCAATCGCATCGGGCTGACATTTTCCGAAGCAATCACGTTCATTCCAGTCATACACTCAATAGAAGCCGCAACAATATATACATGTCCATTCCACACAGCCTCTATCCGCGTTTTTTTTTCTTTTTTTCCCCCTTTTTCCTTTGCCTCACTGCTGTGCCTCATCGTCACCCCCCACGGCAGCAGGCGCCTTCCCCTCGGCTTCGAACGAGAGCCTGACAAGGCGGCCCATGGTCGGCACTGGCCCGCGCGTCAGCCAGAGGAGGAACCGGTTCAGCCAGTCCATCCTCTTCGTGCCCGGCAGCCGCGCCCAGATCAGGTCGTCCTCGACCCGCAGCGACGGGTGGCACTGCGCCACCTCGCGCCCGCTGTCGATGCCCCAGGTGAATTTTGCGTTGACGGCCTTGACCGCGTTGAAGATGTTGTATCCTTTGACTTCACCCCCAATGTCAGCAAAACGTTTTGGTTTTCTTGCCCAAAGAGGGAGGGAGATGGAAGGCAATGCTGGCCACAACAACACACACAAATCCCCCCTCCCAAAAAGAAACTCACGTTGCCACCAAACCACATTGCTACCAATGCAGTCCAGCACCACCTCGCCGCCCACGCCCCGGAGGCGCTCCGTCAGGTCGTGGAACATGTACCGTCCCGCCCCGGGCTCGAGGTAGAAGGCCAGACCCTCGGAGATTAGCAGCGTCGGTCGATCCGCGGGGATCGACTGCTGCCAGTCGCGGTCCAGCACCGACGACGCCGTCAGCGTGTAGCTCCCGCCCGTCTCGGCAGACGCCCGCGGCTTGGGCAGCAGCTTCCTGCGCAGCGGCACCACGTCCGGGAGGTCCACGTCGATCCAGCGCATCTTGGCCGGCAGGCAGCCGCCGTTGGCGTCCATGAACCTGTACACACGGCCGTCCAGGCCGCAAGCCAGATCTAGTCGTTTTGTTTTTCTCTATCAGTATGCCATCCCCATGTTTTGCTTGTCTTGTTCGTTCGAATCACTTCTCCGCCACGGGTCCCTCCCCCGAAGATCACCACCAGGACTTACGGACGATGGTCGCCCCCGTGTCCTTGTGCTTCTCGAGGAACCTGGCCGTCCACTCGTCCACCTGCCTCCCCCGCAGGCCCATCAGGTAGCAGAAGAACTTGCTGAACCGGAACCGGGCCCAGTCCCACTCGATCTGGTCCACCACGTAGGCCGCCCACCGGTCCCCGAGCACGGGCCGCGCCAGGCCCGCGTCGAGGTAGCGCGCGTAGAGCGTCGCCAGCAGCGTGCCCTGCGTGCCCTCGAGTGTCACCTTGGTCTTGCTCTTGGGCGCTGGCATCGTCGTCAACGGCTCGGCCGACTCGACGTGGGCGGCGGCCGGCACCTTCATGGTTGGGGAGTTCATGGCTTGTGATGGACGGCCTTGGGGAAACGGGTGGGGTCCGGAATAGGTACAGCACGATGCTTTCTTTTGAATTGGCTTCTTCGAGGAGGAGTCTAGCTAAACCAACAACAGTCCAGGACGCACCAAGAAAGGTGTTCCAGCGAGATTATAAGGAGTTGGGTTCACGGGGAAATGACCTGCGGTGAGTGCCATGGTCATCCGACCTTGATAGACCTTGCGTGAGCGTTCGCACCTGTTATGCGACCATCTTGGTCTGTGACGAATCATCCCAACTTTCCTTTTGATCCAGCGCAGCCCACGGCGATATTGGCCCGGACCGTGTTATTCCCAATACACCGCCCGGGTTATCATCAATTCCCAACGAACACAGTCCGAGCACCAATGTGGTTAGTCGAGGTACCCATTCTTAGAGAAATGCCGCGGTCGAGCCGAGACCTGTGACAGAAGACGGCATAGCCGTTCGCAATACTGACCTAAAATCTAGCTTATTTTCACATCATCGAGAGGAACTCGAGTAAGCTAGCATCTCCAGGTGCTCACTACTTCCGCAAGACAGCTTTTGGCGTGGGCTCGGTTTGTTGTTCGTGCTGGCTCAGGTCTCAGCTAGCGAGACAACCTAGGGTACCTATCTATCGGGCAACATACCATACCGCCCTCCAAAAACTCGGTGAGAAGATCACAAGGAACCCGTTACAGGCTGGTTTTTTTTTTTTTTGCTTGTTACCACTCCGGATGTCCGGCGTGATCGACGGGATCAACACTAAGTCGGCCCCAAAGAAAAGGAAAAAAAAACAGATCGTCCCAAGTCGGCCGCACGAGATTGTCAGTTGCGCCCGACCCCTCCTCCTGTGAGCTCGTCGCCGGCGACGGTCAGCATATGCGCTACGCAGGACCGAGCAGATCGAGCGGCGCGCGCCCAGCCCGGGCGCCCAGGCAGCAAGATCCTGTGCGTCGCCACACCGCCTAGCTTCGATTACAGCATGCGAGCTGGGCCAGGGCGGCCATGCCGGTTGCGTAGGATGTAGGCGCGTTCTGCTGGCCGGATGTGCTCGGCTGGGGATCCCGCACGCGAGCGATGACGAGGCGTCATCGACGTGCACATGTGCAGACATACCTGCATGAGGCAGGTATTAAATGGTGCCCTCCTCCCCCTGAATGTCTCTTCTTCATTCATTAGTCGCTCGGTGCGATCTAGGAACACCCGAACAGACCGCTTCTTAGGCATGGCGTGGGAGAGCAAAGCGGAGCAAGCCTAGAGGTTGAGGAAACTACATAACTTAGAAGATGCTATATTCTTCAGCGAAGGCGACCGGAGACATGACTGTGAACAGGATCAATGGCTACATATTGGGTTACAAAGATGTAGGTTGTTTCGTCGACCCCATCCTCGAGTGGCAAATCTTGGCTCGGCTAGTTGTCTTAGGACACCATGTTGTCACTCAAATATTAGTCTAGCACTAGTGCCAGGGCTTTTCCGGTCAACACCTATACCATCATCTCATAAGGAGGCATGATAGCATGTCACAAGCGTTTACGTCAGTTCTTGTTGCTGCGACACGTCCGTAACTGAAAGTGAGCACATCGCAGTAAATGGCCGAGGTAAGAGAGACGATCGTCAAGCTGGAGATGTCTAGAAACTGTTGGACTAGATCGATCCTGAAGGGGAAGTCTGTACTACACACCTTCTTTCCAACACAGACAGCCCCTATAAACAAACAGAAATATGCACTTTCATCCTCCAATCCCTCCAAGAGACAAGGAAACCCTCAACATAGATGCAAAACAGAAGATGCCCGTAACTTTACTTTTACTCGTCCATCACGGCAGCAAACTTCTCCAGCAATTCGCTGTTGATTGCCTCGTACTGTAGGAAACAAGATGTAAATTGTTAGCACACTCTTCAAGCCACGAGCAAGGGAGAAAAGACGAGCGTCGTAGATTTGACTGACCCTCTTGCAGATAACGTCCTCGCCGTCCGACGGGACCTCGAACTTGAGGCTCTTTAGCTTGCCCTGCAGCTCCTGGGTGGCATCGCGGACCTTGGACCAGCTCTGGCCCTGCGCGACGGCCTTCTGCGCCTCGTCGTGGAATCCCATCATCAGGCGCATCATCCATTCCGTCTTCCAAATAGGGCAGAATTGATCGTAGTCGCTGTACCCATTCTGCTGCAGGAAATCCTCCTTGATCAGGGTGGCCATGTCCAACGTAATCTTGTCTGGGTCCGAGAGCGCCGACTTGCCGACAAGCTGCACTACCTGGTCGAGCTCCTCCGAGTCTGAGAGCAGCTGCTTGATGCGGTCACGTAGACGCGGGAACTCGGGGTGCTCCTTCTCATACCACTTGTCAAGAATCATCGTATACTTGGAATAAGACACCGAGGTGTTGATGGAGGGGAAATGCTTGCGCTGCGCAAGCTTCTTGTCCAGCCCCTGTACTTGCTGTTAGTCCGATTTTCACCAAGTCAAAGATTGCGCGGGTACTTTCCCAAAATACTTGAACGATACTAGTGTTTGCGTTTGTGTTAGAGTCAAGAAGATCAATCGATGCGGCGTTGATTGCGCTTACCTCAGAGTGGACGACGTGACAGGGTCCGAAAAGTCGCCTCCGGGTGGGCTGACGGCACCGACGATGCTAACACTGCCCAGTCGCTCGGGGGAGCCGAGGGCACTGACGCGGCCGGCGCGCTCGTAGAAGGACGCGAGCTTGGCACTCAGGTAGGCGGGGAAACCCTGGTCCGCAGGCATCTCACCAAGACGTCCCGAGATTTCACGCAGCGCCTCTGCCCAGCGCGACGACGAGTCCGCCATCATGGCCACGTCCATTCCCTGGTCTCTCCAGTACTCACTCAGAGTAATGCCCGTGTAGATGGATGCCTCGCGTGCAGCCACGGGCATGTTGGACGTGTTGGCGACGAGCGTGGTACGCTTCATAATGGGCTCCTTGCGGCCCTCGACCTCGATCTCCAGTTCGGGGAAATCCTTGAGGACTTCAGCCATTTCATTGCCGCGTTCTCCCTGTTGATTTCGTGTCAGTGTTAGGTTTAGGTCAGACAATGTGGAGAGGAGGGGCAGAGAGGGAAAGGGGCAACCCACGCAGCCGACGTAAATAATGACGTCGCTGTTGGAGAACTTGGACACAGACTGACTGATGACAGTCTTGCCGCAGCCAAAGGCACCGGGGATGGCGACGGTGCCGCCCAAGACGCTGGGAAACAAGGAGTCGAGAACACGCTGGCCGACGATGAAGGGGCTGTCGGCTGACAGCTTCTCGGTGGTGGGACGGGGCACGCGGACGGGCCAGGTCTGCATCATGCCGTACTCGGTCTTCTTGCCTTCAAACTCGACCTCGAGGATCTTGTCGACAACAGTGAAGCTGCCGGCGTCGGTGATCCTGGTGATGGTACCCCTGGCACGGGGCGGGAACATGATCTTGTGAACCTTGATGAAGGAGTTCTCGTACACGGTGCCCCAGACGTCGCCGCCCGAGATGTGGTCGCCAACTTTCTTGGTTGGGGTGAAATCCCACTTCTTTTGGCGGTCTAGCGCGGGGAGGGCAACGCCGCGCGGGATGTAGATGCTCTTGGCGGCCTCAGCGATCTTCTCGAGCGGGCGCTGGATGCCGTCGTAGATGTTGTTGAGCATGCCGGGTCCGAGCTCGACCGACAGCGGCTTGCCGGTGCGGAGGACGGGGTCGCCGACCTTCACACCGGCCGTCTCCTCGTAGACCTGGATGGTGGCGCGGTCGCCGCTGATGCGGATGACCTCGCCAATGAGGTTGTTGTGGCCGACCTTGCACAGCTCGTACATGGCCACGCCGATCATGTCCTCGGCGACGACGACGGGTCTGTCCCACACGCGGTCAGCAGCCTAACCGACGAATCGAGCGCATGACGTAGCGCCGGCACATGGCGCCAGCGCGAAACAAACGTAGTGCAGGGGGGTGTTTGGGGGAAAGCAGAGGCGCCATCACACACCCTGATACCGAGTAGATCTTGCCTGCGGAGAGTAAAGATGGTATCAGAAAGAGGCTAGAGAAGCTTCATCGTAGAACCTAAAGAGGGTGGTTGTGATGGTTGACTTACCATATTCACCTTCTGGCTTCTCGCCATTCTGCGGAGGCTTCTGCAAGCGGCGCAAGCCACGGCGGTCAGCAATCATATTCGCCTCCATAGCAGAGCTCTGGTGAGCTGTATCGAGGCATCCATCGTAGCCGGTGTCGTCGCCGCCGCGGAGCTTATTGTGTGCGGCGGCGGGCGCGGGCCAACATGAAGCCGAACGAACGCCGGCGGTAGGAACAAAGGCCGAGGCTTACCGGAGCCATGCTGGGGCTAGTGCTGCGGGCGGTGCGGTCTCTGTGAATCCGGTCCTCGGGAGACAGCTGCGATGACGGAGGGTGCAGGCGAATATCAATCGGGGGCTGCGGCAGATCAGGAGAATCGGGCGCGTCTGAAGGGGATGGCGGCGCTGCTTGGGGAGGTTGTGGCAGCTTGGATGGTGATGCGGGTGGGTGAGAAATTGGCAGTGGCTGGCGGGAAGCTGCCGCCAGGACTTGGAGCTGCAGCTCCTCTCTGGCAGCCGGCTCCGGGGCTGCTGCGTGTGGGGCTGCCGCCGCAGCTGCTCCCCCACCACGTTCCCCAAGTGGGGGCCTGTGCTCCGCGCTGACTGCAAGTTGGTTAGGAAGGAAGACGGCGAAATGGAGGGTGTAGGACACGATGAAACGTGGAAATCAGTGGGAAATGGTATAAAAAGGGGGGGGATATGTCAAGAGATAAGAACAGGTACAAAAAAACAAACAGAAAGTACCAGAGCAAACATGGAAAGGGGGGAGAACACAAGACCTACAAGACGCCTTCCGATACAGGCTGCCCCAATCAGCGCCCCTGCCCGCTGCTGCCAACGGCTGCTGTGGCGCGGGCGATGATGACGGCCGCCGCGACTCTCCTCCTTCTCCTCCGTCCTGATCAGAGCCCTGACCGCCTGCCGAACCCACCAGGAGTTCAACCAGGCTGGGGCGCGCGCGCAGCCGGGGCTTCAGGCCAAGCTGCATGCGGTCGACCGCTTGCTGCGATTGGCTCAATTGCCGACTTTTCGTTGGCGGCTGTGGGTTTTCTTTTTTGTCCTGTTGATTGGCTCACGTCACAAGAGAGGATGTTCCGAGTTTCAATCAGTCGCGAGAAGGACGTGGTGCAGATCTCCTCCCGCTGTTGAGGCTCTTGTTCGCTAAGGCCGTCGTTGTCTTAATTGGGAGCAAGGCAGGGGCATGTCAGCTGCAACAACAACAATAACAACGCGGGTGGGGATGGATGGTCACCCCTCCCCTCAACCTTTTCATCTGCTTGGATCCCTTCCACCACCCCTTGAATAGAAGCAGTCAGGCTAACCGGCCATGCCATTGCAACGCCACCCCGACATCGCATTCGTAACTACACACCACCATCCCAATATGAACAAGCAATGACCCCTAAATCTGTTGACATGTTGGGCCGTATATGGACGTTGAGATCAATAAATATCATAAGAAGGTGATGATAGACGCTTATATGGTCTAGCAAGTTGAACGCTCTCGTTCCTGTTCTCTACAGTTCCCTACCTCTTGCTTCTTGCTTCCTGCGAGCGGGGACATCCCTATCAAAAGTCTCGAGGCTGTGCAGAGCAAAGCGATGCGGCAAGGGAATGGAGTTTGGTGGTTTATACACCATGTAAGTTGAAAACACAAGATCTCACAACATTCAATATTTGGGCCCTGTTTGCCTAATTATTTGAGTTTGAGGGGCTAGAGGAACCAAACAAGGATTCTATTCCACCGACCTACGGTTCCTGCACTTCACCAGACTGTTTCTCGCCGGCCATCTCCTCGTCGGCCTTCTCCTCGACGAGCAGCGACTCGCTCCTGCTTACCTGCTCCTCGGCGGTCTGATCTTCCCTCTTGCCGGCTTGCACCTCACTTTTATCGACTTGGTTCTCGAAGCTCTCTCGTTGCCAGTATCCCGGTCACCGGAATCGCCGAGGTCTATATGCGCAGAGGGGTGTGGGAGATTTGAGCCGGTGACCTCACTGGGCACGATCTCGCCGCCCGTGGCACGTTTAGAGTGACCGGAAGCTCTGAGTGGAGCCGCCCCAGCTCGATAGTAGGATTGGCCCAAGGGGATTGCTAGGTTTCGAGGCATCGGGCCTGGGGACGGCGGAGGAGGCCGGGACCGTCGCTCGGCTGGGCCCCTATTCACGGCAAGCTAACAATCCCGGCCTGGGGAGTTGCGCTATGCCAGCCTTTTACCCCGACCCCTCTTCCTGGCTCTGGCTTGGCGACCCAGTATCAGGGGAGCCCCGAGGTCCGAAGTGTCCGGGCTGAAAAAGGTGCCTTAGGTTAATGAACTCGGACTTCCAATACTTGAATCCTGCCCCTATTCGACATTCTTGGTAGCAAAGGTATACTTCTTGCCAGCCTTCCACTTTATTTGTGCAGTCTACTGCGAGGACTTGCTCCTGAAATCCTACGTGCTACTAGAGTGATCGGGGATGGTGCGGCGCACGCGCAAGCCAAAGGCAGGATAACGAGAGGAAATACGCATTGATAATAATAGATGTAAGCAAGTGGTGGCACGCTGAACAAGTATACAAGCAACAACCCCATTGCCAAATCCACATCATGGTCATCATTATCATTATTAATGCGCATCTCCCCTCGCTATCTTGCTCTCTTTGCAAAAGGAAATGCCGCGATAATCTAGACCACTCATAGCCAACAGGACCGATGCCACGTCCATGGCTCTATATAACCGTACCTAACTCCACAAAATGGCCGCCGATAGCCAAGGGGGTGCACCAGGCCCATTCCACTCCTGCTCGGCTCAGATAAACCTCCCACACAGATACTACAATACATAAGAATAATATGCTCCGTCAGTCGTGAAAAAGTCGCAAGGGCTTGGTCGTGATACATAGAGTCGTGGTATGTATAAGCCGTTGCGAAACGCTGAAGGGCAAACGCAAACACACGTGAACAATCAAACAATAACCGGCCATGACGTATACCAGGCGCTGCTTACGCGGCATTGATCTCGTCGTTCGCAAAGAGGACTGATCCTGGCGGGGAGAGGCTCTTTTCCCACTCCTTGATGTACTCAGACGCGTGCTGCTTGAGCTTGCCCGGCGTCAGGCCGTTGAGCACAGGCCAAGAAAGCTCGTCGAGCTTGGCCGCCGGCTGCAAAACCTGATCGCAGTCCTTTCTGTTCAGGGCGAGTCTGCAGGTCAGCCACTTGTGTGCCAGCTTTGGTCAACAGAGCGGTGAGTCTTACTGAGCCGCAGCCGCCTCACTCTCGGTCTTTTCCGGGATGGTTGGAATGGCATCCCCAGCGATGGTGGTGCCGCTCCAGCGCGGCGACTTGGTAGGTGGCATGTCCCAGTTGGACCAGTCGCTGTCATCCAGAGAGTCGACCGTCAGGGGCGTCCACGACCAGCGTTTGGGCTTCTCCGCCTTCGAGGTCTTGCGCTGGTGGCGGTTAGCATTCCCGGTCTCCTCCTGGAGCGGGCTGCCAAAGCTGTCGTCCTCGAACGCCGTAGTTGCTTGTGATCGCGTCGACTGCACGGATGGCCGAATAGTCCCTTGGTCGTCGGCAAAGGAGCCGTTTCCAGGCCGTGAGCCACTGTGGGGACCACGCATGGGCTGGCCCACGCCCGTAATGGGCTCGTCGCCAACTGTAGCCTGTCGAAGATCCTCGACGAACGTCCACAGCCCAATCTTGAGGTCTTCAGCAATCTGCTTGACGCCGCTCGTGGCCTGGTGTTGGACAGAGCGAGGGGCCCAGGAGGCGCGTTTCGAAAGCTGTGCCGGGGTTATGGGTGCATAGCGCACAATATTGGCGAATTGTTCATCAAGTTCCTTGGAGGATGTCTTGAGCTGGTCGACGGCATCCTCGTGCACCGAGAAGTCTCCTGGCTCGGTCTTCGTTGGTGACAACAGGGACAAGGTCCGCATGTGCCCTCCTTGGAAAACCTTCTTCTTGGACTCTTGGGGCAGTTGTGGCGTGCCAGGCGCGCTTTGCATGCCGAGAAGGATAGCCTTCCGCCTGTCCAGCTCGGCGCTGCGCTTCGCTGCCGCCGTATCCTCGTCTGAGGTGGATATATCGATAAGGGTCATAGACATATCGCGCATCCTCTGTGAAGTTCTGGTCTCCCGTGCCTTCTTGGTGCGCTCGGTATGAGTGAAATTCCTCTTCAGCACATTCAGCTCCCGCTCTGCCCGAGCAAGCTCCTCGCGCAGGTCGAGAACGCGTCTCTCTTGTGAGGCGATAGCTGCAATGAAATCCTTCGGGTCGACTGGGGACATAAGATCAGGTGTCTCGGCGGGGGTGGCGGGATACGATGGTGCTACTGATGACGAAGGTCGTGTGGGTGTGGCGGTCGGAAGGTTGACGGGTATGGGGAGAGTCAAGGACAGCCTATTGGGGTTCCGTGACGCCGCGGAGTTCGAGCGGGCGGACCGGGTCTCGAGAAGGTCGTCGAGTCCTACTGAGGGCTGTATACGGTGGGGTGACTGCAGGCCACGGGGAATCGCGTCGGAGCACGCAGATGGAGGCCGTTCGGCGTCGAGATCGAAGCCCAGCCCGGAAACTGGGCGCGGCTGAAGTGGCATCTCCATGGTGGGTAGCGTGGCGAGCGGTGTTGCAGGTCGCTTTGTCACAGGCTTGGGATCGGGATGCAGACGAGGCGACAGCCTCCTCGGCAGGACCTTGGACAAGAAGATGTCGCGAGAGGCGGATTGGAAGAACTCGGGGTTGCGGATGGGTATAGAGACCCTGCTGCGCCGTTTTGCCCTGTGTAGTGTAGCAAGGACGGTGGCGCTTTGGGTGCGGCGCTGGCGCGATCGGTAAGGAGGGGCGGTTGTGATGTTGCTCCGAGTGGCGATGTAGACCTTGAAGAGCCTCAGGTGGTTGTCTGAAAAAAGGATGTTGGGACAAGTCGACAAAAGACAGATACGTTGGAGGGAGATGGTCATGAAGAAGGAGGCAAATTAGCACAACAGTGGGGGAGCAGCCATCGGTCCGGGAGCCTCGCTTCCCCTGGAAATGATGCAAAAGAATGGATAATAATAAGATAAAAGCCGTCTTTATTCAGCGGAGGCTTGTGGGCGGCCACGCAAGAGGCGGTCAGCAAGACGCACGTCGAGTGAGGCCGTAGAATAACGAGGGTGGGGGTGGGTTGCTGTCGAATAGGGGCTGATTTTGTGTGGAGAAGGCGGGCAAGTGAAGGACAAGGGAGAAGTCAAGGCGAAATGAGCGTGTTTTCTGCGTAGCGCTACAGCCTGGCAGCGGATTTGATGCAGAGTCGTGGGATTGTGAAAACTGGGGGAGACTGCTCGACCGACAGCCAATGAATCCTCTCTGAGGACAAGAAATGCACGCGGAGAGGCCTGGCAGCTCTGGCTTGGTTTAAGTAAACGCGAGGGTGTTGTGATGAGACTCATTTGGACATCCTTGCATGGCCCCACCGTCGTCAACACGGTAACGCAACCACCAACAAGGGAGCCCCGCCTTGCGAGGCACACCCGCCATTGGCCTCGCCCTGCGGCGCTACTGCAGGTGCACCAGCGACAGCCCGTCCCGTTGGTCTAGCCAGGCTCGCTAGGCTACGCACATAGCTAGGCAGCTGAGCCTTTCCATCGCCATACTTTGGAAATACCAAAACACCATCATGGTTTGTGTCCAGGTCGAGGCCAGGGGATCCGTGCCTTGTCGCCTTGCTTCTTGCTTTTTGGTCCGAGGACGCCTTAGTCAGGCTGGTTTCCATGGAGAGCGAGAGCACAAGACGGGATCATCCCATGTCCCAAACAAAACAAAACCTGGCAGGCGATCATTGTTCCCACCTCTCCAGCAAGGCCGAGGCGGAGGCAGGCGGCGCGACGCGTGATCAGCTGAGGTGTACCCGTGTGGTTTTAACGCAGCAAGGAGTCTGACAAGTACCGAGTCTGGCAGGCAAACTCGCATCTTGCAGGGAGCTGACGGGGAAACAAGAGGACACAGAGACCTGGGCTTCATCCAGGCGAACGGGGTACGGAACATAACAAGTGGACGTTTGTTTGTTTGCTTGTTTGTTTTCCTTGTCTCTTCCATGCCCTGGAGATGAAACATCTGGAAGCCCGGGACCAGATCCGGTCAGACTTGTTGGGCAATCGGGGTTGGACCCGCGTGTTCCTACAGAGCTGGGCTCAACGTTCTAGAAGTGAACGTGCCTGGAGATTGGGCCCATTGTTTGCATTAACTCTGCAGACCGGGGTCAGGTTCTTTGTATGGAGCAAGGAGCCACGGAACCAATGACGGTGGTGGGGAAAAGCAGTTACAACCAAAATTGCTGAATTTGGCAGCGGGAACCTGGTACTTTACATACAGAGCAGGAACCAGGGAACAAGATGTGCTAAGAGCAAGAGAGGGGAGAAAAAGAAGAAGAAAAGGCCAAAGGCAGAACGTATATCAGGAGGACAGAAAGTGATATCAGAAAATAAAGCTCACAAAAAATAATATACTATGTATACATGGGGAAAATGCAACATACAGTGGGGGGACAAAAATACCGCTCGCTTAGACAATTTTTTCGCGTTTTCGCGACGCGTTTACATCTACCCTCTTACTTCCAACACCAACAGCATGCCCAAACGAGGTCCGGAAAATCCGCTCGGCGAGTATTCCCTTTATAAACGCACAAAAATTGCAACGAAATATGAATTAGGCACTTCCCGTCGCAATTTGGCCGAGAAATACGATGTTCCCGCGATAAGCGTATATGGGATCGCGTCGCGGTACCGCGTCCAAAAATCAGCCACTTTACGTCCACGCCCAGGGCGGCCGCCATTGTTATCCGACGAAAACGTGCAAAGGCTTATTGCAAAGGTCAAAAGTTAGCCTTTTATCCTACCGGACGAGTTATTGCGGTAGTGCAATTTATCGTGCAGTTTTCGTACCGTTAAACGCGCCCTTTACCTCTACGGTTTTAAAAGGAGGCTTGCACTCCGGCGGCCCAAATTAATAGCAAAAAACGCCCTTTTCCGTTTAGAATTTGCTAGGCGGTTTGTTGATTAACCGCTTCGATCGTGGAAAAAATGGGTTTTTTCCGACGAGTTAATTATCGTGCGTGGTGGCGGAAATCGCACGAAGTACGTTTGGTGCAAAGATGCAAATTAACCCCTTCCTAAATGCTTTATTTTTAACCCTTTTTAACTTGCTTAATTTTAATCGTTAGGCCGAGAAATTGGAACCCAAGCATGTTTAGCCTAAAGAAAAGCCTATAAGGCATGGCCAAATGTTTTGGGGCGCTTTTGGGTGGCATATTCGCAGCACTTTATACGCAATGCATGGAAATCCCCTTTCCAAAAAGGGCGGGGTTTTTAGCCGGATTGTGCTCGAGTGCTTGCAAGAAAACCTACTTACAGTATGCTTTCCAGGGACCATTTTTATGCAAGATAACGTTCCAACTCACCAGGCAGAAAGAGTGCAAGATTGGTTGCAGGCCTGGGCCGCAATGCATGGGGTTGAATTGGTAAAGTGGCCCCCTAACTCGCCGGACTTTAACCCTATAGAGAATTTATGGAATATAATAAAGGCGGCGATTTGCAAGCGTTACCCTAAATTAAGGAGCTTTTTTAAATTAGAACGATCCCGTAATTTACTTATACGGGCGGCAATTAAAGCGTGGGAAGAAATTGAAGAGGAAGTGTTGGAATCATTGGTTTTATCCATGCACCGGCGATTCCAAGCGTGCATAAACGCCAACGGGTGGTACACAAAGTACTAGAATAGTGCATTCTTATCAAATAAAATGCGCTTTACAACATATTAAAAAAGCACGCAAAAAGGATTACAATTGATGGCACAGTCGTGGGTTGAAGTGGTGGTGTTGTAACAGGGGTTGTGCAGAAATTTTGGATCGAGCGGTATTTTTGTCCCCCGGGTGTACATGATAACTTTTTGGGTGTGGTGCGGGGCGAGCAGGCAACGGACATCGAAGCACCGGGTCGGGCCTTTCCAATGTCCGTGTCGATAATTCTATGGTACGGGGAAGGAGCGAGTATCTCGGCCAGCCCGATGGAGAAAGCAATTGAGTGGCAGGACGTGCTGCCCGACAAATGACGATTGAATCTGATCCGATGCAACTTCGGGGGCACGCACGATTAACCCACACTGTCGCCATCACCACGAAGCGACAAGCCCAAGATTACCGCACTCCGTGATCCGATGGCCCCGTCCGCAACCGTTGCGGCCGCAGAGCGGAAAGCGATGGAGGGCAAAAACGAGTCACAGGACACTCAAGAACTCGTGGATCGTTACCGAACCCAGTTGGGAGTGGGAATAGTCAGTCTCACTCCTCCCCGCCCATCCAGCCTATGCCAAGAATGAAATCGAGCGGCGGGTTGTGGCTAACAATTGCATTGTCTTGCAACAGCTTGGTAGCTCGCCACCGCCTGCGATCCCCACAAGCTGCTCGAACCCAACGGCTAACCCACAATCCGCCCGGGCGCAAAGGCCTAAAGGTGAGAAAATCAGATCCACCCGGAGAAACGTTCGAAGCTAAACAAAAGAGAGAATTACGACTACAAGTCACGCAAACCTATGTGATGGGACCCAAGATGGCACGCCGACGGAAGATGTATGGGCAAATGCCAGTAAGTTCCCTGCAGTCTTGTGTCTGGTTTGGGCAATCGTGTAGCGAGGGTCCTGTGCAGCGCTAGTTGTGGGCAAGGATGGCACTGACACTCAATCACGGGCAGCCGCCCAGCACCAAGACGCGCCAGAACGCGACTCTCATAACGACGTCACATGGGCCAGATACTACACCCACACCTTTGTGTGTCGACGACGCCGCCCGTCCGAGCCTGCAGCCAAACCAGGCTGGCCATCCGGATTCTCACGTGCCGCCGCTGGAGAAGACCAAGGGCGAGCCCAACGTTAGTCCTACGGGCCGGCCTGGGGATGCAGTAGATGGATCACGCACCGCCGCAAACCTAGACGTCTCGCTGTCTACTCTGCCAGACCGCGCACCACCAGACGAGCTCCATGTGCCGCCACCGCTGGACGGCGGGACGGTTCCTGGTTCAAAAATGAGTTTTACTCAATCGACAACGCAGTCCAACGAGGAGCGGACTGGCAGTTACGATCGTTACTTCCCTCATGACTCTCTTGGCGACGATGATGGCCTTCAGGACACCGCCCCGCTCGTGGACCATGCCCAGGCCGCATCACATGATCGAACCTCTCTTTTGAGCGACGACGATCATGGTGCTGTTAGGCTCCAGTTCAGCGACAAGGGCGATGATGAGACGGAGTCAGTTGCAGGCCGCGAGACGGGAGACCCGGATCTTAGCCTTAGGCCGTCGACCCGGGCCGATTCGCAGGTCGCGTCCGCGTCATTGATGCCGCCGCCGGAAACGCCGGCAAATCCCTTTGCAGGGAGGAATATGGGTGTGATGGCCCCCATGTCAGATCTATTCAAACAGACTCAGTTCTCGTCTGCTGTCCAACCCGCAGCCATGAGCCCCACGTCTTCCAGGCCATCTCCAGACATGTTCCTGAACAACTCCATCTCTCCCAATCAACCTGCGCCAACCTCTCCTCTCAGGAGGCGCGACCCTGCGCTGAACACCTCTCCCTCTGTTTTCCCATCTAGCCCTCAGTTTCCACCACCCACATCACCACGGCTGGACGACGAGGCAGTCACGCAATTGGTGAACGGATCATCTGTACCCGAACCAGAAGACCCTGAAATCCCAGAGTCACCTCGGCCCAAGGCACTCTCTCAGAAGGCCTTACTAGAGCCGGTGGACTGCTACGAACCCACGAAGCTCTCCCAGAAACGGCGGGGGCTCTCGGAGCCAAAGGCGAGCCAAGCAGGTGGCAGCAATTCCAGTGACGAGGAAGGCTTGGCCCCCCGGAAACGAGCCCGCTCAAAGCGAAATGCTGCGCCAAAGACGCTCAAGTCTCTAGCAATTCCGCGGAAAGGTTCGGGAGCACCGGATGAAGAAGATGAGGTCGAGGTTCCCTCAACCAACAAAAAAGCGACGCGCTCGCGGTCCCCCGCTGCTGTACAGAGGAGGCCCAGAGCGCGGGGCCGTAGAAAAGACCCTTATGAGTTTGGTAGCAATAGCTCTACTCGAAGTCAGAGCAGTATTGCAGACTCGCAGGAGAAGGCCCGCCCTGATGCCGCTGCATCCAGCAGGGAGGCGATCCCAGAAACAAGTCCTCCCCCGGACGCCAGGTCGAAGAGGGCAGCTTCCAGGACCGCCACTCGTTCTTCCAATCCTGCAATTCCTTCGCTGTCAATCCCGGAGATACCAAGTGACCTTGCCGACACGCAGTCCCCCAGGCTCCCGCCAATGAAAAACAAGGTCTCACAGGTCTTGGCGACTAAGACGTCACAGTTCTCGCCATCGGCGTCCGAAATTCAAGCAGCAAACGACGCGAGCGTTGTGCTGGGCCAAAAGCAGGCCGACACCCCGCTTGCTCCCAAGAGTTCTGCCCATAGCTTGGCTCCCCCTACCTCGGCCCTGACAAGCTTGACGGGGACCCCGAACATCTCGAGCAGCACCACCCCAGCTACTGAGACTAGTCGGAGGAGCATACTATCTTCCCCTGCTGGTGCAAAGGCTCGCAGGCGTGGTTCGACACAACCGCTTCCAGTTCTAGCGAACGAAAGCGTCAGGTCGGGGCGTGTGACCCGAAGAAGTGTACAGCGCTCTCCACCTTCGACCGACGAGCTCGCCCGTGGAGAGACTCCGGCCCCGGAACACAACCTTCGAACCTTGCGACTGGGGAGGCTCTCAACATTATCGGCCCATGACCTCCCGGTCACAGAAGGGTCTGTTCGGGGCCCAAAGATTTTCGACGGCATGGTGTTTGCTATCTCGTTTCAGTCGACAGGGAAGAGCAGCCGCGTCGCGTACAATGGCCGAACCGAGAGTGTGGCGACGGTGACTAAGAAGATCCGGCAGTCGGGCGGTAGGGTGCTGGAGATTGGCTTCGACGAGCTTTTTGAGGTTCAGCACGTGAAAAGCGCTGCTACCAGTCCTACAGAGGCTCCCAATCCGGACCCGGACATCAAGCTCACCGCAGCCGCTGCGCGGGTCGTCGGATTCGCTGCCCTGATAGCAGACGGCCACTCCCGCAAAACCAAGTACATGCAGGCCCTAGCACTCGGTCTACCGTGTCTATCTGCTCGCTGGATTACGGCGTGCGTGGACAGTAACGAAATCGTCGACTGGTCTCCCTATCTCCTGTGCGCGGGACAGTCCTCGTTCCTTGGCGATGCCATGAGGTCGAGGAACCTGCCCCCCTACGATGCGAAGACGGCCTTGCTGCAGGAAGTTATCAACCGAAGGCCGCGGCTACTCAGTGGGAGTAACATCCTGCTTGTGATGAAGCGGGCCGACACCGCCAAGACAACGCCTTACATCTTCCTCGCCCAGGCTTTGGGAGCGTCTCTGACAAGGGCATTCACTGTCGAGGAGGCACGCGTCAGGTTGAAGGAGATGGAAGACATCGGCCAGCCTTACGACTGGGTATACATCGACGAGAAGACCGACAAGGGCGTGCTCTTTGACGAAGCGCCGGCGGCAATATCCGTCTCGAAAGCAGCGGATGCCCCACCTGGATCACTCGGCAGCAAGAGCAAGAAGCGGAAGCGAGGTTCTGCGGCCAACTCTGCGGCGACATCGATGGTGGCGTACTCTGGCCCGCCACCAAAGAGGATCCGGACTCTGAGTAACGAGCTTGTCATTCAAAGCTTGATCCTCGGGAGGCTTATTGAGGCGGATGAGATGAAGGAGTAATGAGGAGTAATGGAAGAGGGTGTACGGAAGGACAGAAAAGAAAAAAAGGGTCGAGGTCTGTTTTGGCGAACCATTCATTTACTAGCATTTGCTTGGCGCAACAGCCAGAAAAAGAGATGATAGAGGCGGGTGGGCGAGGCTGGGGGGGCCTTGGAGGAGTGCTACTTGTTCCTGCTTTATCTGCTGGCGTAAACTGTACATTATGAGTGATCTCTGGGCGTTGATTCGGCCCTGGAAATGGTCCGCACGCTTGACCAGGCACCATAACACTATGGGAGTCGGCCAATTGTGGCAATAATTTGTACTGCCTAGATACCTACCTACCAGGTCTCTCACCATAAGTCTGCCCCTTGTTCCATGTGAAGTAAGTCAATATAAGCATGCACGGCAGGCAGTCTGTCGGGCAAGCAGATAGAGGCGGTTTTGTTCGAGATAATGGTATATGCATTGAAAGGAAAGCCCTGACGCCCTGCGCTGGAACTGATAGCAAACATCCCCCATTTAAAGACCCTGTGACTCCCGTGCTCCGATTCACACCATGTTTTACCCTCAACCACCTGAAACGTGCCACTTTATATCCCCGTCCTACTGACCGAATTCCACAACCTAGAAGAAAATCGACCCTAGAGCTGGCTTTCTAGATGGGACCACACCATCCTCCATCCCCACGTGCCATTCCACGAAAACGCAAATCAGTCAAAGAACTTCTTGTACGCAGCCTTCTCCTTGGCCAGACGGGCGGCCGACGCCTTCTTGATGGCGGCCAGCTCGTTGGCGATGGCGGCATCGCCGGGTACGAGCTTGCTGGCCTCCTCAAGGTCCCTCACGGCGCCGTCCTCGTCCCTGAGCTTGATGAGGGCGAGGCCGCGGCGGTACAGGGCCTTTGCGCGGTCGGTGGGCGAGGCGGAGCTGACGCGGAGGGCGCTGTCGGCCGCGGCCTTTGCGTCCTCCCAGGCGGCGAGCTTGATGTTCATGAGGGCCGAGTTGTTGTTGAGGGTGAAGCGGAGGGCGTCCATCTTCTGCTTGGCGTCGGCCGGGGTGCCGTCGGCGTCGAGATCGGGCTCCTCGTTGAGGTAGCGCAGGCCCTTTTGGTACTTTTCTAGGGCGACGGCGAGGTCGCCGGCCTTGAAGGCCTTGTTGCCGAACTCCTTGCAGTCCGAGGCGACCTGGATGACGTGGGCGGCCGTCACGCCCTTCTCCGAGTCGGCGCCCTCCTCGTCCTCGGGGAAGTCCTCGTACTTGTCGCCGTACTTGTCCGCCTCCTTGGCCTGCTGGCTGACCTCGGCGCCGGCGGGCAGCTCGCCGCAGTCGGCGATGACGGCGTCCTTGACGGGCTTGTCGCCCGCCTCGGTGGACAGGTTCTCGATCTGGCGCACGACCGACTTGCCCGAGATGACCTTGCCGAACACGACGTGCTTGTTGTCCAGGTGGGGGGTCTCGACGGTGGTGACGAAGAACTGAGATCCGTTGGTGGCTAGTGTAGAATGAAGAATTGCGGGGTTAGTCTGGAATCGCGACTGCGCCGCGGATGCTCAAGAGACAAACTCACCAGGACCAGCATTGGCCATGCTGAGCAGGAACGGGCGGTCGTGCTTCAGGTCAAAGTTCTCGTCCTCGAACTTCTCGCCGTAGATGGACTCGCCGCCGGTGCCGTTGCCGGCGGTGAAGTCCCCGCCCTGGATCATGAACTGCTTGATGACGCGGTGGAATCCCGAGCCCTTGTAGTGCAGGGGCTTGCCCGCCTTGCCGACGCCCTTCTCGCCCGTGCATAGGGCGCGGAAGTTGTCGGCCGTCTTGGGCACGACATCGTTGAAGAGCTCAAAGGTGACGCGCCCAGCGGGCTTGCCGCCGATGGTGATGTCGAAGAAGACGCGGCTCCGCGGCGCCTTGGTGCTCTCGTCGGCCGACATTGTGGCTGGAGGGTGGGCTGGATCGCGCGTTGTTCCTCGGGCCTGTTGGGGGGGATTGGGGAAGGGTCGAGTCCGGGAGATCAATGGTAAGTCAGGCGGATGCGCGCGAATCGAGAAGCAGGTGTGGGAACAAGTGTGGTGTCACCAGAGGGAGCACGTGGATGGGGTTGTCAAGTTTGACGTTGTCTCTTTGGACTTGTAGCTTAGGTTGTTGGTGTTCTATGTTTATGTATGGTAGGAATCAGCACAGGTCGGCTGGTCCCGCCCAGATCAGGCAAGCAGCCCGCCCGCCTGCCAGGCACCGGCGAGGGGAGAGAGCCTCGAGGATTCTCATGGAAGATTCTACAGAGCTTCCGCTACCACCCCCACCTCAGCTTGCAGACTTACCGAATGAGGGGCACAAATATTAGATCGATTGCATTTGTGGGGTCAGCGCCTAGCAGTGTGGGGCATGGACCTCAACTAGGTACCGCATTGGGAAATTCTTTGGTTGCCAAGCAGGCTGTCTGTTTGGTCGATTGACTTCGCTCTGGTTTGCTCTGGAACTGATGTGTCTGTCTACTATGTAATCTACTCATGTATGTCTACCCAGGTATTATTTGTGAAGCCCTTCTTGGATAGCATCCTGCTCAATGGAATCCTCTACTGAAATCCGCATTTTATGGGGCTGGTGATGGAGCTTCCGTTACCTTTTCAGCAGCACTCGACGTTCCTTTAGGAGTTTTCGGCTTTGGGGGCTCGACGTTGAATTCCAGCGTAACCTGTTTGCACGTATCTGTTAGATGAAACCCCCTGTGGACTTGAAGTGGAAAACTCACAGGGCCATCATTGACCAGGGCCACCTCCATCATGGCCTGGAAAACGCCGTCCTTCACCTTGTCGGCTTCGTAGCCGTCCTTGACCTTCTGGAGGAAATGGTGATATAGCCGCTTGGCATCTTCACCCCCCATGGCCCCGTGGAAATCCGGCTTGCTTCCTTTTTTCGTTGACGCGAGCAGGGTAAATTGGGAAACTAACATGGCAGGGGTGTGAGAGCTTGCCCCTGCACTGGCGAAGGGATTGAGCAGGTAAGGGACAGACGTACCGCAAAGAACCTCCGCTTTTATATCTTTAACGCTGTGCTTCCACTGTGGCGACCACGAGAGTCAGATTAAACAACTAGGCCGGCACAGCAAGGAGGGACACAAACTCTGCCGCCGGAATCGTCATCCCAAAGCCTGATCTTGAGCACCTTGGCCGCCATGGTCTCGCATTCTTTCTCCGTATCTCCAGGGGCCACTGCTGCAAAGACCAATATGCCCTTCCCAATGGAAGAAACTATCTTCTTGTCTACCGTGACGCTAGCAGACAGGACCCTCTGCAAGATTACTGTGAAGATGCAGCTGCATGAGAAACATGAAGCAGAACTCGGGGGCCGTGAGTGACGGCCAACCTTTCATCTTGTTTTGACTTTCAGTGTTCTTTCTTTTTCTCGGTAACTGCCCGCGGCTCCCGGTTTTTGTACCACCTTCACCCGGCTGCTATGGTGTCCGGCGCTTTACAGTCACCGGGTAGCAGCGATAACACAAATGTCTTTACTTTTGCGCAGGGCCTGTGACCTCGGAAGCGTTTAGAACCGCCGAGGTGGCAGGGGTTGAGTGTGCGTTGGATCGCTTTGCCGTGTGGCAGTGCCCGTGTGGTGAAATTAGAGCAACAGACGGCAAACAAAACTGTGGTGAGGCGCCACGCTTTCGCATGCGCCGGTGTGGCATTAAACGGAAACACTGGGTGGATATCATGTGACACGCCAGCTCGGGAGGGCCCACATACCAGCACCTGTTGCTCTGCAGCTGGACTGGTACTCTGCTATCAATCCGCGATAGTAGAAGCTCATTCCTCGACACCGTTTCCAATCATTTCTTCCAATTGACAGGACACGAAGGCAGAAACAAACCCTCACACGCTAGCACCTTGAGTTCACCTCAAACCCAACGCTTCTACGGCCGCTCAGTGACGACAGCAGCTAGTCGCAAGTGCCGTGCCCTAACAAGGCTGGGCCCACGTGTACTTTCGCAGCGCGGGCGCCTGGGATCGCGTTCCAAGTTGGTAAATCTCCAGCCGTACGGCGCTATGAGTTTGACCTCACTCACTTCAATTCATGCATCAAACAGCCGATTGAGGCCCCTATACCGCCACACCTGCTGACTGAGGCCAGAAGCCAGGCGAACCATTATAAGGCACACTGCCTGCCTCTCACAGGGCGGCTTTCACAGGTTGGGATCCCTTTGTTGCCCTCGTCTGCCCCGAAATTTCGCCGCTGTCGGTTGGTTCTAACCCATGCCCTTATCAACGAAGCTTTCCATCACCATCAGCGCGCCCCGACATCGCCACTGCTCGCCTGCCTACCCGCCGCTCACGCATGCCGTCCGCCGTACGTGCTCTAGACAGAGCTTTCCGTCGACTTTCCCCGCCCCCGCTGACGTCTCGTTGCCTGCGCGGCATCACCCCTTCAACAGACAGCTTGGCCGTGACCGGGATTGCCACATCGCTTTGTCATTCACGGCGCCTCGACTCAGCACTCGGCAGCCGAAGCTGCGCATGCTCTTTCCTACGAACCGCAACCAGCAACGAAGCAGATCGACCTAGCCTGCCGCTGGGAAATCAGCAACAATGGCCGCACGAAAGTTGCAGCAGGAGGTGGACAAGTGCTTCAAGAAGGTGTCAGAAGGTGTGACGGAGTTTGAAGCAATCTACGAGAAGATTGAGCAGTCAACAAATCCCGCACAAAAGGAGAAGCTAGAGGACAACCTCAAGCGTGAAATCAAGAAGCTCCAAAGGCTGCGCGATCAGATCAAGACATGGGCCGCCAGCAATGACATCAAGGACAAGGCTCCGCTCTTGGAGAACAGAAGGAAGATCGAGACGGTATGCGTCTGATGTAGCTTTTGATGGTTGCCCTCGCTGGTCACTAACACACCCCTGCCACAGCAAATGGAGAAGTTCAAAGCCGTCGAGAAGGCGATGAAGACCAAGGCGTACTCGAAAGAGGGGTTGTCAGCCGCGGCGAAACTGGATCCGAAAGAGCAGGCCAAGGCCGAGGCGAGCGAGTTCCTGGGGTCAACAATCGATGCGCTGGAGCTGCAGATTGAGGCACTAGAGGCCGAGGCCGAGCAAATACAGGCCACCGTCAAGAAGGGCAAGGTGACGGGAGCCAAGGCCGAGCGTATGGCCAGGATCGAGGAGATCATCGAGCGGCACAAGTGGCATCAGGGCAAGCTGGAACTCATCAGGCGCTCGCTGGAAAACGGCGGCGTCGAGACGGACCAGGTGACGGACCTGGAAGAGAGCATCAAGTACTACGTCAGCGATGGTATGCAGGACGACTTTATGGAGGACGACACTCTGTACGACGACCTGGCTCTCGGCGAGGAGGAGGACGCATATGGCATGAGCCAAGACAACGACAAGAACTCGTCCCAGGACAACCAGTCGGTACAAGAGGAGTCAACCGAGGATACGAGACCAACACCCTCTGTGCCGCCAGCGAAACCACGAACCGCGGCCGAAGCCTCCAACGCTGGGCAAAGGAGACCATCAACACAGATGAAATCACCGCTACCTACGCTAGCCACCCTGCACACGCCTTTGCCGACCATTAGCAATGTTCCGTCAAGTAGTGCGGGCATGAAGCCTGCGCCAGCACCGGCACGCCCTGCAGGAGAGGGGTTGAAGTATGCCTCAGCCGCCGCCGCGGCTGCGGCCAGCGACAGGAACAACGTTGGTATCGCGCCGCTGCCTCCGCCGCCAGGAGCCCCGGTCATCTCGCCCATGCCCCCAGTTGTGAACAGGCCCAGCGCGGCCAACTCCCCGAACGTCATTGCAGCGCAACCCGCGCCCTCAAGCAGTGCGCAATTGCAGCCGCCATCGAGCCTGACGCCGCAACAAATCTCAGCACAACTTGCCGGAAAGGAGAACGTCAAGTCCGCTTTGAGCCGGAGCGCAGGGAAGGCTCCGGCAACGAACTCACCTGGCCCGGATCCGGCAGAAGCGAGCAAAGGTGCGAACGGTGTGTCGAATGGGGTCAAGACGAAGGCAAAGGGCAAGGCTGCCAAGGCGGCAGCTGCGGCACAGGCACAAGCGGCGGCAGCGGCAGCAACTGCAGCGGCAGCTGCGGCACAAAAGGCACAAGAGGAGGCGGAAGAGGAGTCTATCTACCACCTGCCCGCTTCGCTACGGGACCTGGTGGAGTCGTTTGAGATGGCCAAGAAGCGAGCGGGATCGGTGAACTCGGCGGCGACGCTGCAGGCACTGGCACATTCGCAAGCGACGCAGCCCGACACTTCGGACGCGGACCCACTACCAGCATACCAGCCCGAGATGCGCGTACAGTCGTCTTCAGAGTACCCTCAGGAGCCGCTTCCGATCTTTGCCGACGTGCGCCTCTACAACCGACTGGACACGGATACGCTCTTCTACATTTTCTACTACAAGCAGGGGACATATCAACAATTTCTGGCGGCTAAGGCGCTTAAGGAACAGAGCTGGCGCTTTCACAAGCAGTACCAAACCTGGTTCCAGCGCCACGAGGAGCCAAAGAACATTACGGAGGAGTTCGAGCAAGGCACCTACCGATTCTTTGACTACGAAAGCACCTGGTGAGTGACTTTTCCTCGAGTCTGAGCGCGAAGAACTACGTATGGCTAACGGTTGTTTGACTGTGCAGGATGAACCGCAGAAAGGCCGACTTCAAGTTTGCCTACAAGTATCTGGAAGATGATATCTAGATTTCTAGTTATCTAGTTATCATATCCATGCCAGGAGCGCATTCACCGACCCCCTTGTGCTCGTCTGGTCGAGGCCCAACTCACTTGTGAACCGGAAGCTCTCGGCACGCGTTTCTTCAACTCGATGCGTGTGAGTTGTTCGGTTGGGTCTTGGGGTAGGTAGTGCTCTGCTTCGGCTTCGTCGACATGCCCTACATGGAAATGAGTAGAAAGTGGGGCAGACGGGGGGTCTGCCAATTTTTCCTGTTGCGTTTGAAGTCTCTCCCAACTCTCGGCGTGTGTTCCTTTTTGTTAGGGAGCCTCTTGTTAAGCAAGGCTCTGTGTCTTTTTATGTTTTATTGTCGGATCAAGTGCGTCAGGTGTTTTCATTCTCTCGTCTCGGTGCAGACAGATGGAGCCCAACGGGTACACGGGTCGGCCGCGTCATGCGGAAGGCTCTTAGCGGAAATCGAGATCAGCATGCATCTCTACTTTGCTCCTCGTCTGGCCAGATGGGATTGTGATGTGTGTTATTCGAGACTCGATATGCTCTCTCCGTGCTGGTGACTTGATCACTACAACTGTCGGCTCCAAGGCCTGTCTCTCCCGCTTTCACCTGCCGGTCAGGATGGCGGCCAGCTGGACGCCGCGGTCGCCGCCGAGGTAGACGTCGTCCTCGCCGGCGTCGGAGGCGCGGGCCATCTCGACGGCCTCGCGGTAGGCGCGCTCGACCATGTCCTCGTCGACGCGCACGCCGTTCTCGACCAGGGCGGTGATGACGCCGCGCACGCGCACGATCTCGCGCATTGTCTCCGGGTCGATGGGGTCGTTTCGGCTCGAGTACATGCTGGCCGAGACGGCCTCCTCCATGTTTGCGATGCCCGTGGCGCCAGTGGGCGCTCCTGGGTCGTCGGACGGCGGCTCGACGTGCTTGCTGATCCAGACGTAGCCGTTGACACCCAGGACCACGTCGATGCTGCGGTTGGCGGCGGCGGCGGCGGCGGTGGCGGCGGGGTTCCGCGCCTGCTGTCCTCCTCCCTTGCGGCCCGCCGCGGCCGGGTGGGTCGAGGCCGAGGGCGCCGTCGACGCGACCTCCATGGTCCACACCTGCCTGCGGGCGCGCACGACGCCGCCGCCCCGCCCGTGCCCGACACGGCGGCGAACAGGCCGTTCCGGAGCTTCCCGTACCTCAGCGAGCGCGTGTGCAGGCCCGCGCCCCCGTCGCCGAAGAGCTGCTGGACCTCGGCGACGAGCAGGTCGCCCTCGGCGAAGAAGGACCGGATCTGGAGCTCGTCCGTGTCGGTGCGCTTGCGCAGCACCCCGCCCGGCAGGTTGATGGCCGACAGGGGGAGGGCGGCCAGCTGGGAGGCGCCGACGTCGACGCGCCAGCGGCGGGCCTGGACCTCGACGATGCGGCCGACGACGAGGTCGCCGACCTCGGGGGTGTAGCGGGCGCGCACGGGCCGGACCGACAGCAGGCGGTTGGTGCGCGACACGGTGCCGGCCACGGACGAGACGATGGCGGGCGGGACCGTGTAGGTGCCGTGGCCGCGCATCCACTGCGGGTCCGTGGTGATGACCTCGCCGGGCGTGACGATGTCGCCGCCCGCGTCGTCCGCGTCCATGTCCACGTCCGCGTCCGCATCGTGGTGCTGCGGCGGCGGCGGCTGCGGCCGGGGGGCTAATATTGCGATGGGCATTGTGTGTTTTTTGTGTTTGTGTACTCGACGCCTGTGATGGTCGGTTTCCAGCGGCCCGGCCCGGTATGGTGGCGGTACTGGTGTTGGCCTGAGAGGCTGGTTGGTGGTAACGCTTGTCTGGCAGCGAGATCAATCAGGCGCAGTCCCGTGCATGCCCAGTGACTTGGAAAGGAGCCCGTCCCTGGTATTGCCTTTAAACTCAATTTCCAGATGTCCTTTCTGATGTTTTCAATCGTCGAGCTGCCAGTCGCAGAAACTAAATTTGAGGTTGGATGGGTTGGCTTCCTGAACGAGGCCTTGTTTGCGGGTGGTGAATTTTTCACTGATGCACTGAGGCTCGGGCGGACACCGACCTCCAGCGGCCTCGACCCCCAAACCCATGAGAGCATATAAGTTCCGCCCACATCAAATCAGACACCCAACACCCCGACCAAGCAACACCTGCGCAATTATCGAGTTTGTTCCTAATATTCGAGGACTTGCGCTCAAGCGGTTGCTTGCAGCGCATTTGTTTGCTTATTCGTTGCTTAAAAATCCAAACTGCCACACACTGCTCAACCTAACTATCCCGGGAAGGTGCACTTCGTAAAACCCGCGGGGATGAAGGTAAACAGACAAATATATATTCATAAAAAAAAGGCAATACCAAAATACAAAATAATAAAAGCAAAAAGCTTGCTGCCGCTTCGGGGCGACAGCTACGAAACATCCCACTTGAGAAGTTTTCTTCGATCCCATACCGGGGATCGAACCATCAACCCAAGCGGCTATTGCAGCGGAGTACAGGTAGGGTCCCGGTGTCGACTCGACCCATCCTCATAACCACTACACCAACTTGGCGTCTCCGGTTCGATGTCTACCATGACCTGGGCGGCAGGTTATAAGGCCTGCCACGTCTTCGGGCGTGCTGCATGCCCAGGGCCTGGAGGGCGATGCGTGCACCTGGACCAGGGCCTCGGTCGGGCGCGCCAGATATTGCAACGGCCCCACATGACTGAGAAGAAGTTGAAGCTGAAGAGACCTCGACCTAGCGGAAGGGGGAAAATCCAAGGAGGAATGGCAACCCGTCGCTGACGAACATAGCGTGCCAGCGCAAGATGCATACTAGTTCAGGTCAACGTTAGGAAATGGCCTCTGGCTTTAAACAAGCGACGAGGGGACTTTCAAAGAGTATTTTTTTGGGTTGGAATGGCGGATAAATAACGTTCGCTGGGTTCGCACATCTGATGACTTGTCTTGAAGCTCTCTGCTTTCCTTTCACGTAGTGTCTCGTGATATTGGTTGGTGGCCGCCCGGACACCGTCAACTACTTGAACAGCCTCCACACGCCCAAGTATACCAGACCCAGGGCGATCCCCGTGATGCCAGCCTTGCGTCCGCGCATGCCAATCATGGGGCTCTTCTTGAGTATAAGTGCCTTGTTGCGCTCAAGCTCGGCGTGGCCCGAGACGTAGCTGTACGCTGCGAGCCCGATGAAGGCGCCACCTCCTGAACAGTCAAGCACGATGTCAGCACTTTTATCTGTTCTACCTCTCAAAGGCAGCGGCCTTGCAGAGAATTGACCGACCTATGACTCGGCAGGCGAGGCAGTCATCACCCCTGTCCTGCTTCAGGAGCTCCTTGTAGTCTTCGGGCTTGTCGAGCTTCGACATGGACGGAACGCCTGGCATGATTGTATCAGTGAGAAGAGCGTAGACAAGTCAAGATTGTCTTGTAGGTTTATATGGCAGTTTATGGCGGCCACATGGCGTGCTGGACATCTCAAGGCTTGCAGTTTCTGAGAGCAGCAGAAGTCCATGAGGTCAAATCCTTGCGGCCAATAATTGGCTTCTCGCCAGTCCAGGCCCCATATTTAACCGCTGCCGCACAGGCGGAGCACAGGTCAATCTGATTGCGTCAGGCACGCCGACGCTGAACATTATCTTCTTGGCGCCTCAACCAACCGCAGCAATGGCGCGGGGACCAGCTCGAGCTTCCACCTCGGACCGCACCAGTCCCCCCACAGAACCCTTGCAGCCATGACGGCCGTCATAGAGGCCCTGCACATTTACGATGAGCGCAAGTACGTCGGCCACGTCCGTCTCCCCTCTGACCGCTACCGCTTGCTGACAGATCCTGCTTGGCCGCGCCCCTCCTCGCGCCCCTCGTACGCGACTCCCTCTTGGCAGCCGTACGAGGAGCGCCGGGGGCCGGGCGGCCGGGCAGACCAATCCACAGTAGCCCGGTCCTGTCCCACACATACACGGGGCGGCCGCTCTCGGCGGCGCACCTCCTGCCTCTCTACCTCGAGCACCCGCCGCCGCGCCCGAGCCTGATCTACCTGCCCAACGCCAGCCCCGCCACCCTCGTCTTCTCCCTCGCCCACGCCAACCTACTGTTCCTAGCCACGGCCTCGCGCGAGGTCGAGCCGCTGCTAGTGCTCGAGTTCCTGCACCGCGTCGTCGACGCCTTTGAGGAGTTCCTCGGCGCCCCGTTGACCGCCCAGCGCATCGACTCGGCCTACGATGTTGCCGCCCAGCTACTGACCGAGATGTGCGACGCCGGCGTCGTCGCCACCACCGAGCCCAACGCCCTGCGCGACCTGGTCGAGGTCGAGGGCCTGCTGGGGAAGCTGCTCGGCGGCCTGACCCTGCCCGGCGCCGTCACCGCTAACCTCGGCGGGGGCGGCGGGCCCTCCGGCCCCTCGCTCGGCTCGGGCGGCGCGATGGGCGGCGTGGGCGGCGGTCGCGGCAACGTGGTGGCGACGCCGGCGCTCCCGTGGCGGCGGGCCAACGTGCGGCACACGAGCAACGAGATGTACGCGGACCTGGTCGAGACGCTGTCGGTGACGCTGGCGCCGTCGGGCCGCCCGCTCGCCGCCTTTGCTCACGGCACCGTCGCCTTCACGTCAAAGGTCTCGGGCGTCCCGGACATTGTCATGTCCCTGACGGGGCCCACGGGCCGCCACAACCTGGCCGGGCTCATGGAGCTGCCCGTCTTCCACCCCTGCGTCCGCCTCGCCCGATGGCGTGAGCGCCCCGGCGAGCTGAGTTTCATCCCGCCTGACGGCCGCTTCATTCTCGCCAGCTATGAAGTCATTTTACCGCCCCTTACCAGCGGCAAGAGTGGCTCCCTGGTCGCAGGCAATCTGAAGCTCCCCGCCAACATCGAAGTCAAGACAGGCCTCGGCCCCACTGGCTGCGACTTCGAGGTCCGCGTCTACGTGAACAAGGTATTTGGCGCATCAGGCGGCGGCGGCGGCAGTGATATTTCTGGCGGAGGAGGCTCTTACGGGCGGGGCGGCGGCGGTAGAGGCATCGGCGGTGGGCCGGTCGGGAGGCCGTTTGGTGGCCCGCAGCCTGGCACAGCGGCGGCGCCGCTGCTTGAGGACCTGAGGATCACGGTCCCGCTGCCGGCGGGGGTGCGAAATCTCCCCGAGCTCCGGCCAAGCAAAGGCGATGCCACCTACAGCCCTGGAGACAACCTGGTCGACTGGCTCATCCCAAACAAGGCCCTGGCGAGCGGCACGATGCAGTTCAGCCTGCGCGGCACCGTGGTGGGCGACCAGGCGCTGGACGACGCTGACGACGCCGTTGCTGCGGCCGGCTACTCGGACCCCACGGGCTTTGGCTTCAAGGAGTACAACTACGAGGACCCGGAGCCGGCGGCGGCGGCGGCCAGGCCGGCCAAGGGGGCCTCAGGCGGCGGCGGCGGCGACGACGAAAAGACGGACGCGAGGGTGGCGCAGAACAAGCTGCTGATGCCCAGCTCGGCCTCGCTCAGCTTCTCGGTCAAAGGCTGGCTCCCCAGCGGCATCAAGGTCGAGAGCATCCTGATCGACCAGAAGCGGAGCATGGGCCTGACGGCGTCGCCCTACAAGGGTGTCAAGTACCTGACGGTCAGCAAAGGGGGCGTCGAGCTGAGATGCTGATCTCGTTTGTGCGAGCTGGAGCGGGGGGCGGGGACGAGATGGGTGCTGTCTTTTTTTTTGGCAGTAACGACATGCGCAGGTTATAGCCCGGTGCAATATGCAAAAGACCCCGAAGAACAACTGCGTGTTTTGTGATTTCCTTTGCTTCCGTCTGTGTTTTTGACCAGCTAGTCTGCAACAGCCCTCCTCAAAACAGATGGCATATGGATGCTTGTGATTGGCACAGCTGCGGGCGTGCTCGCCCCAGGGCTCAGAAGGAGAGCAGTATCCTTTTCCCGCCGACATTGGCGATGTTGCTTGCTCTTCTACAGGAGTACTCCCTGGCGCACAACGGTGTCGCCTTCGAGATGGTCCTAGAAGGCTGCAGTTGCGCCTTCTCTTCAGGCCCGCTGGTGAAGACTCTCTCGTCAACTTTCGGCAACAGAAGAGCCGTGTCAACATAGTCCCCATCCAGAAGCAAACCCGTTTGAGCAGGCCAATCTCGACCGAGGCCTTCAGGGGCTCCTCGCAAGTCTTTGCTCTGATAGAAACACTACGTCGGCGCTATCTGAACTATGTGCCTCGCTCCAAGCACACCACTATGCTCTCGAATACTTTAAGTGGGCAACGGCTACGGTTTGGCGTTTGTTTATTCCCCATCAAACTCACATCCGGAGCCTCCTCGAGGTCTACTAGACACAGAAAGAAAGCCATGACGTGTCACGAATCTGAAGAAGAAGAAGAAAGAAGAAAAAAATAGCCGCTGGGTCCTAGCAGAGAGCCTGTGCTATGCCCCATGGCGGGTTTCTTCACCGCGGTTCCTCTTACAAGCTCTGCTATAAGCCAGCCTGCATGCATGGTTCTCGGCCTCAGGGAGGCGCTGCTAGAGCCCGTGAGCCCCACGTCACCGAGCCTACCGTCCCCAAGCCTCACACTGCGTGCCAAGATGCGCAACGTCGACAAGTGGCGAGTTGGCATCCCGCCAGCTCAGGATGCAAAGCTCCATCATGGCAAACCACACACACACACACGCAATACAGGAGTAGTATCCAACAAGATTACCATCCAGGGGGGAAGCGCGTCTACTCGACCATCAGCTTAGCAGACGGCATGCACGAAACATGCAATATGCAGGCCCCCCTGTGTGATTTACCTTCTATTAAAGGGGAGCGACCTCCAGCAAGCGCGGACCCGAGGTTCGGCGGAGAAATGCGGAGGCCCCCCACCCCGTTCCGGAGACGCCCGGGGAAACAACCTCACCTCCCGGGGTCCCGAATGGGAGGACCGCGATAGGCGGGACGGACAGATAAAGCAGGGAGAGAGAGAGGGAGAGAGAGAGAGACGGAAAGGTGTGGCGTCTTGCGCGTTGGGGTTGAGGTGTGGGCACGGGCAAGCAGGATTGCGGACGAGGCGTTGTTTCAATAAGCAAGGTGAGGCTCTTTCTCGACGGCTTAATTTAGCAACAGGCAAGGGTGTAGAGGGTCCCCTGGACGGCGGCCTGGGCCATATTGCGAGAGAGTGCTAGGTTACGTCAAGGGCATGTACAGGCATCCCTAGGTCCGTATGGAGGGGAACAAGGGGAAGGCGGTCTGCGGCGTGGGCGGCCGGCCCATGGGTTCGTTTCCCATCCCTTTTTTTGTATTCCTGGTTCCTTCCCCCGTGTACATGGGTGGCAAGGAGTTCTCATCACACATGTAGGTGGTCAAAAATAGATGGAGGGAACTGTGACGAGATTTCTGTTCGTCGAGAAGCTTCGATAGCCACGTTTTGTACCTTGCCGAACCCCTCCCCCTTCCTTTTTCCCGCCTCGGCCAGGCTGGAATACGACGGTTACAGGGGAGAGGGACGTGACGAGAACGAGCTACCGTGCATATTCAGGTGAAATAGCCGCCACGGTGGTGTGTGGGTTGGTAAAAAAGAAAAAGACAGGGAGGGTGAACCAACAGCACGTGGCCGTATGCGCCGCGGCAAAAACGGAGCGGCACACACCCTGGCCGTACGTATAGCAATGTGGCTTGACCCAGTGCGCTATATCTGCCATCTAGATTACAGGGCCTTATCTGGGGACAGAACGAGATGGAGCGGCAGGAATCTCGACAGGGTTAGTGATAGGACGCAGCACAGGTAAGGCAGGCGGGCTTGACATGCGGTTCCTTGACCGGTGTCGATGTGCCGGCATGCTCGGGCCCGCCGACCGCAGAAGTGTGGGCGGGAACGCAGATGAAGGGGGAGGGAGACGGGAGGGGCGTGTGTGGCTTGCGCCCCAAAGCCTCCAGCCCACGTCGCGAAGCTTATCGCTGCCGCCGCCGACGACGCACACACCGCCCTCGGCGGCAGTCGGCCAGTGACGCTGCAGCGCCAGGGCGTCTCGCCGGGGCGTACTGCCTAGCTGGCTGGTCTTTGGCAAGCCGCCCACGCGCGTACACGCACGCACACGCTTGAAACTGACCGTCGCGTGCAAGGTAGGCACCGGGGATACATGTGCCTGTCCCCCTGGATCTCCCCCGCGAGGTCTGCAACCAGCCAGTTAGCCCAACGGAAGGGCTGTATGCGTGAGAGGGCCCATCACATCACGGTAGTGCTGCATCTGATGCAGGTCCAGGTCACGCCTTTCGAGATCTGGCGCGGGCGAAGATTAGAAATAAGCTTGAAAGGGGGGTGGTGAATGGTAGGCAGGGCGAAGCGTGGTTGGGTTTTCTGGAACACACGCGGACGGCACGCCCTCCGGGGGAAGCAAACTGGGGAGGAGGATGAATGGCAGGCGGTGGGTTGTGCTAAGCGCCGTGGGCGAGGGCGTTTGCGACGACGAGGCTGAAAATAGCCCTGAGAAAACCCGCCGGGCGCCTAATGGACAAACGTTGGGCGCCTAAAACTGGCCAGCGCTTGCCGGTGCCATTGGTCCGATCTGCTGACTTGCAGGGGCGGCGGTTGGAATTGGGGCCTGGGTGGGGTGTGGGGTTAGTATGAGTAACAAGGGACTAGTGGGTTTGATTCTGACGGAATTGAGAGGCGCGACTGGGGTTCGCGACATGGAGCAGGGCAGAAGAAACTTGAACCCCAGGCAGAAAGAATAGAGCCGCGCGCTGCAGAGCGGTTGAGATTGCGAGCTGCGAGGTCTTTGACGACAGTAGACGGACGGTGAAGAGGCCGCCGAAGAGGTCAAAGCTGGCGGCTGTGTCATGTTTCGGCGCTTGTGGCAGTTTGGGCTTAGTTTGGTTTGGTTTATTGTCGGCGGGCTTGATGTCATTGTCATCCATTGTTTTGTGTGCGTCTTTTCGTCGAGCCTCGTTACTCACTCGTGTTGGTCGCTCCTGCCCGTAACAAGTTTGGACAATCTGGGAAGGCACTGCGCCCGGCCGACCCAGTCAACGCGCTTGTCTTTCCAATCGCAGCCACCAACAATTGATCTGCTGGTTCCCCCGCCCCAGGAAGGCATCCAATTGCTGGATGGGCTGACGACTTGCAGACAACACAATGGACCAAAAATCCTCCTCGCCACATGATGCTCTGAAAGGAGCCAGCCCCCACCCGCAAGGCCCGGGCTGCTGGGCCTGAGAGCGCCAGTCGGATGACTTGCCTTGTCTGTAAAAAAGCGAACGGGGAGACCCTTTTTTGTTCTCGGGCACGGCTGTGATGGCCGGGTTGGCCCAGGCAGGGCAGGGTATTGGTGTGGGCCAAGTGACAGACACGCAAAGCCAACAGCCAAATCCATCGACCACCCACCACCTCTTTTTTTTTATCTTGGCTGTCTTCCTACAAACTTAGCTGTGAGATGGATGAGTTGACAGGGCGCGTGACGGGGGGATACTTTTCTGTTCTATAATTACCAGCAACAGTCAGCTTTGCCCTTTTCCCAACAGCCTCGACATCCATGGATCCTTGCCTGTCGCCCACCCGTGCGAAGGGGGGGAAAAAAAAGAAGAAAAAAACCCAGCCTTGCCTTTGCAAATGTCTCCATTTTCTCCGCCTGCCCTGCCCTAGAGAGGGGGTTCTGCTTGGCTGGGCGCGGGTGTTGCCGGTCCCCATCAAAATTTGATCTCGTTCTGCTGTTGGACGCGCAGCTCGACCCCAGCCTCCCCCTCCAGCCCCTCCCGTCGGGCTGTTGGTTCTGCGCCAAGCCGAGTTTTGCGCACCGGCTGCTCCGTCTCCTCCCCACCGCCTGTCCTACGCAAATTGATGCCCGCCTCGGATCCTACATGGCTAGGTGCTTTTCTGCCACCTTCCTAGTAAGACATGCCAGTAGCGGCCGAAAATAAACCTGCAACTCTGCTTTGTTTCTTTCCCTCTTCCCAGCCCTTGCTTGGCCGACGTCGTTGGAGGGGGGCGGTGCGGGTAGCCGAGACGGGCCCCGCAGCCCTCGGGTTCCCCTCCCGCGCTTGACCGAGAGAGACAAAGGGCGTAAGCGACGGTAGCAACAGGCGCGCGCGGCGGATGTTGCCCTGCCATCAAACTGTCATCAAACACGCAAAAATAGAGGCAGGCAGCCGTGTCTGGGTCTGTTGGGGCTGCTGCGCTAACGTCCAGAGTCGCCAGGCAAAACCGGGCAAAGCCAGGGATTGCGTGGACAACTGGACAGTACCCAACCTTGTCCAACACCCCCCTGCCAACGTGGGACCCCCCAGACATTGCAAATCGCCAACCGCTGCGTCGATCCCCGGATGAGGCCGTCCGCAGCAGTCGCCGCGGGGGTCAGCACTACCTTTAGGCATTGAGGACACCGGAAGAAACAAAAAAAAAAAAAAAAAGGACGCGCACAAAACGATTCGATAGACGTCGGTCGGTCGGTCGGTGGCTGGGATGGCGGTGTCAGAATGGACCTTTTTGGGTGGGCAACATGCGCCGAGCCTGTCGTCCATCCCGCCGAGCCTTGCCAGTCCTGGCATTTCCCCTCCCTGAGGTGACCGGCCGTCACGCAGCCACAACACACACACACACACACACACACACACACACACACGCACAGGCAATAACACTGTCGGTCCTGCGCCTGCGGGTGAGACATGGTCATGGGAATACGAACGAAGCACGGGCGATGATGCCGCGCTGCAATGATCGTCGCATCACCCCAACCTCAGGTGCTCAGCAAGGGGGGAAAAAACAGACGGCTATTTGTTTGGCTTACTGGCCGGCTCCGTCACCGCATGGGAATCCCTGTGCCGGGCTGCAGTAGGCCGGGTGTTGTTGTCGTCGACCGCCGTCGCACTTGGCAAATCACACATGGTCGCTGCAGCAGACTACCCCGGCTAGACTCTTCCTGGTGCGCGCTTGAGCAGCGCCGGGAGGAGCAGGAGGAGGAGAAGGCCTGTCGTAATCTGAAGTAGCAGCCGAGGACTTTGCATTCAGTGCCATCACTCAGCCATGAGAAATATACCGGCCGCGGGCTGGCCAGGGCCCATGCTTCTAATAATAATAATAAACATGGACGGCTGTAGGAATCTCGTCACTCTTCCCTCCGGCAGGAACCCCCGGGGAACTGCCGATACCACCACGCGCCATTTCGCTCCTTTGATCTCCCACTCTCCTCCGAGGGCCGGCCGGCTGGCCGCCAGTGGTCGCCCACACACATACACACCCCTTGGGGCCCCATATATCGACGTTTCGTTTCCCACATGCAGCCGTGCCCGTCGCTCCCAATAGGCCGAAAAATCATGGCCGGCGAGCCAATCAAGGCCCGGTTGTCGTCACAGTCACGACAGGGCGGTAAACCTATCGAGAACAAGCGAGGCGGGCGCGTCTGACCTATTGGGGTTTCTTGCGTCTTCTTGTTTCTAGGTTCGTAATGCGAAGTGCTTGCTGCTGCTACACTACGTCGGGCCAAGTCATTGGATACCTAGGTAGGTAGGTGGCAGGGGCCTTGCGTCTGGCGAATGTGCGCGTGTATGCGCGGGCCTTGTGGATTCGTGGGCTCGCTTTTCCACTTCACTGCCCGCTTGCTTGGCCGTGTCTCGCCCACACACCCACCCACCTGCCTGCCGTCCTTTCGTTGGGTTTCCCACCCCTGGCGTGTATTGGGTTCGCGCGCATATCTGGCCACAGAGGGAGAATCAAGGCCGGGACGGAAGGGACAAGAGAGGGCAAAATGGGTTGATTGGTAGGCATTGCGCCGTGCATGGACCGGCTTCGAGAAGCCGCTGCATTGTTCGCATTGCTTTTTTTTTCTTTTTTTTTCTTATTGCGTCCTGTTCCTTCACGGGCGGTTCCTCTTTCTCCACATGGCCCCGCCTCGACACGTCAAGTCTCAACCGGTCAGGATGCCACCACCACTGACGCCACCACCAGCCATGTTTGCAAGCACAGGCACATCTGAGATACGGCCCAGCCGCGCCCTTGGCAGGCTGACAGGCAACCATGGATGGAGTGTTGTTTAGGTTACCCGAAAGCAAAAAGCAAAAAGGGAAGATAGAAGATGAGGGGAGAGCTTGTCGGGTAATACGTTGTATATCAAATTGACCCTGGAGCTGCTTGCCGACCTCCATGTTTCTAATTTTGTAAACTAGGGGTGGCATCAATATTGAATGGGTTGCAGCCGGCGAGGCCAAAAGGAGACACAACCACAGGGAGCCCTAGGAAGCGAAGCCACAAAAAGGGCACGTTACCAGCAAGTGAAATTTTTTATTGTTCTACTGTGGAGGGCGTCCGGCCGGAAAGACTGTCGGCGAATTGGGCTTTGAGCATTCTCCTTCGTCTCTGGCTCGCTTGCACATGCGACGAAGCGTGCGGGCTTGATTGATTGACCAGACCCATTTGGACGGCTCATGCGGCAAGAGAATGGAGCGGCGCAAGCGAACCGGACTAGCATGGTCGGTGCCTGGGATGGAGGATGGAGGGCCCTGCACAGCACACACACACACACACACACAGGGCCCTTCCCCTTAGTCAATGCCGTGCTCCATCCTTTTTTTTTTTCCCTCCTTTCCTTTCCTCCCGCCAACCACATCAGCGGGGTCGTACGAGACGAGCGAGCGAGCGACGTCCTGGTCCTTTCCGGTTCGGCGGCGGGGGCCACTACGAAGCTTGGACCGGTACTTTTGCCATGCGGAAAAAGGGGGTACCTATATCCTAGGTACGGATCCTCCGTGATCCTCTCTCTGGCGAGGCACCGGGCGTGAAGGAGAGCCCACCCGGACAGTAACCTCAAGAATTATTAGCTTGACGATTCGGTTGCCGCACCGCCGCGCGTTTATTCACAATCGTTCAGGTGTGGTGCGCCAGTCTGTGACCGCGTCTGTGCCTGCTTTCAGTCTGCCTCGGCCTCAGGCTCGCGGTAGACCAATCAAACATTTTGGAGCTAGACACAGCCGGGGCTAGGCGGGTTGGGATCCCGCGCTCACGCACAGTGCCATCGTCAGCCCTCCACCCCTCCACTCCACCCTCCCCCTTCCCATCCAATACGTCAAACGCCGCCGCGGCCGCGGTTAAGGGGGTGTCATCGAATAAAGGTTCTTACCGGGGGGCGCGGCCCAGGCATGGGAGATCACGTTTCGTCACATGATATCTCGATGGGGAACAACTGCGCCATCTGAAAAAGAACCAGAAGAAAGGAAAGACGGCTTTTGACAATCCATGACGGCGACCGCCCTGCAGGCCGCTCTTGGTTGGTAGGGCAGCGGCAGGCGACGTTTGGCCCATGACATGTGGGGAGGGCCCAAGGGCGTTTGCTGTGCGCGCAGGGCAGAACCCTAAGGAGCCAAACTCATCTCCCAGACCGAGCGGACGACGAGAAGGAAGAGAGCGTGACACGCCGTCGTCTCGCGGCGGGCGCACCTCCCTCCCTTCCCTTTCACTCGGCAGCCATGCCGGACTCGACGGTTGGTGGCGCACAAATATCACACACGGGCACACCCACTGCTCACACCTGCACACACGCCTGCAGCTGATTCTGTCTGCTGCCGGGCATTGCGCCACTAGCAGAACCCATCACCAGCTGAGCTGAGGAGGGGGCCTCAAAAGTTCGGATCCGAATGAAAGCACAACTGGGCGACAAAAAAAGGTCTCGATAGTGAGGACACCCGCGCGGGCAAAACGCACCCCCTTCACACACTCACACAGCGTGCACGGGCGTATAGTACGAGCAGGCCTGCAGGGCCTCTGCTTGCAGCGGCGGCCGGCAACAGGTAGAACCGATGCAGAGCCGACGCATATCTTGTTTGGCCAACAACTTCAAGCCGGGCAGGGCAGGGCAGGAAATAAGTAAAAGGGAAAGGCACCCAGATGGCTCGATTAGGGTTGGTCCGCTCGTTATTCCAAGCCGGGCCTTAAACCTTTTTTTCTTCCCTTGCCTCCCCCATGTCACATCTGATTCCCGTCGTTCCCTTTGCGACCTCCATCGTTGGGGAATAAAGTTCAGCGAGGCCATCCGTGATAAAACCGGCCCCACACACGTGCGCGCGCTCGACTCGACGACAGCGACTGCCGACGACCGCCTGTGAGCTGTCCGTAGATACCGCGCACGGTAGTGGGGAGGGGAGGATTGGGAGGGGAGCTATGTTGCAGGACAGGAATTTCTTGCCCTGCTAGGGATGGATGGGGGCGCTCCCCTCGGCGGCCGTGTGAGACGGAGCGGGAGAGAGAGAGAGAGAGAGAGAGAGAGAGAGAGAGCGTCGTCGTGGTGCGACGCCGTCGGCGCGT